CTAGCTAGATCCTTAGTATCCTAAGCTCTGCTAATAGTTAGGTTTTAAAGCCTTAGATAGTGATTGATTGCTTTATATTATAGGTTGATTTAGCCTTACTAAAGTAGATAAGCTAGTACTTTTCTAGGGCGAATTTTGCTCTATGCCTCCTTGCCTATTTTTTATACTCCTAGTGCTTCTCTTCTAGGATCTTATAGTTAGTTTCTATTGTCTTAGACTAGGCTAGGATGTTCGTGTTATCTATAAACCCTAATACTAATGTGTTTTTTAATTCTAGGAGTAGGAGTAGGTCTGCTATAAAGATAAGGAAGAGGATTAGGGAGAGTATTAATCCTTAGGGGATTCCCTTTTTAGTTAGTATTAGGTCTAATTTGAATTTGCCTAGAATGAGCTATATTAATCTTTCCTATAGGAAGGACTAGATGAATTAGACTATCCAGTTTAGTATAGCTTTCTGTTTGAGTATATATAGGAGCCTTTTATAGGAGATATTATTAAAGGCTCCTAAGATATTAAGGGAGAGGAGGGTTGCTACCTAGTTTTAACTATAGTGCTAGATATGCTTAATCTGTTCTATAATTAGTTCTATAGCTATTAGTATTAACCTCTTCTTTCTTCCTCCTATCTAGCCTTTAGGAAGGATATTCCTTTCCTCGGTAAAGGTTGTTAGCCTTTTAGCGACAATTTTTTCTAGTACCTTGCCTATTATATTGAGTAGGGCTATTAGTCTATAGGCCTTAAGCTATATATAGTCTTCCTTCTAGGGCTTCCTTAGCACTACTGTTAGGGACTTCCTAAATAGTCTTAGGTAGTGTCCTAGTGCTAGGCTTTATAAAAAGATATTAGCTAGTACTAGGGCTAACCCCTTCCTATATACTTTTAGAAGTTTGTTATAGATCTTGTCTTCTCCTAGTGCCTTATTGCCTAGAATTTTCTTTAGGATCCTTTTAATGGTTTCGGGTTTAACCTAGGTATCTCTTAGTATGCCTAGCAGTAGGGTCTCTTGTTCTATCTCCCTTATATCTAATAGGTCTGCTTGTACTTTTCTATAGAAGAAGTGTTAGCCTAGGGCTCTTCCTTTCCCTTCTATTATAGTCTACATTTGTCCTTGTTAGTCTATAATATCCGGGAATTGTAGTAGTATATCCTTATCTTGTTTAGGTCTCCTTGCCTATTTGGCTATCCTCTATATCTCCTCTAGTTTCTTTGTAATTATTCCTATTATAGATCTCTATTCTTGTATCTTGTCTTTCTTAATCTAAATCTTCTTTTCCTAGTAGGCTTTATTATAGTTGTCCTATACTTCCTAGGTATAGGTTTGTGTCTACTGCCTCCTAGCCTTCCTTGCTACTTTAACCTTCCTTATATACTTACTAGTCTAGTATAGTTACTAGTATAGTGAATGTTTCTTTGCTAGGGTATGCTTTCTAGCTACCTGTTTTAGGATTCCTATTAGTTCTTCTACTGCTTTGTTAATGTCCTCTAGCCTTAGTAGGTGCTTTGTTAAGAGTTCCTCTAGTTTTTAGTCCCTTTCTAGTTCCTCCCTAATCCTGTCCTATTAGGTACCCTTCTAGTTAAGCTTCTCCTCTAGTTCCCTTTCCTAATTAGCTTAGACATTTAGCTTAATCTATACCGGGAAGTAGTCTAATGATTCTTCTAGTTCCTAGTTAATCCTGCATCTTATAATCCTATTCCTAATCTAATGTAATATAAAGTATAGGTCTAGTATGCTGCTACTTCCTCTTGCCTCCTAAGTAATTAGTCCCTTTAGGGTAACAATTTCTATTTCTTCCCTCTCTAATATATCAATTAGTCTTCCTACTAGGAAGTAGTAAGCTAGGATAAAGTCTAAGCCCTAGAGGGGGTAGTAGAGGTTGAAATCCCTAAGTAGGATTTAGTAGGTGTTCCCCTAGATAACTCTAGATAGTCTTTCTAGGGTTTTTAGTTAGGTACTACTTCTTAAGTCTAGTAGTAGGTTGTATATATAGTAGACTTAGAGTGTACCTTAGGATGTCTCTACTTAAACTAATATTAGGTCCCTATCCTCCTATAGTAGAGCCTGCTAGGTTTCTATATCTATCTCCTTGCTAATATAGATGCATGTCCTTAGGGCTCCCTAGTTATAGATAATTAGGTAGTATCTTAGGTCTTTAACTGTTGCTAGTCTCTTTATATATAGGTTGAGCTAGGGCTCTTAGATTGCAATAATGTAATGTTCTTTTAGGTTTAGTACTTAAAGGAAGCTCCTCTATACCTTGTCTTTACTCTTATTGATATTGTACTATATAATGTTTAGTAATATTGTAATGTTTATTAGGTTTTATCTATATCATTTCCCTATAAGTTTTCCTTTAGTCTTCCCTCGCTTTAGACTAATATTTAACTAAGCTTTGTCTGCCCTACTTCCTTTTCTATAATATTAAGGTATCTTAGTCTCCCTAGTTGCTAGTAACTCTCTTGTGCTAGTGAGGCCCTAAATGTGAACCTATTATCTTGTCTAGACCTCTTTTATAGCACTTAGCTAGGTTGCTTCTATACCTAGCTGCCCTAGCTTGTTATATATCTTTTTAGTGTATTGATTCTAGCTTCCTTTGCCTTCCTCGCTACCTATATTCTTACTAGGCATTCCTTCGCCTAAAAGGGGTGTCTTTTAGTATAGTATATACATCTTGCTTCTCCCTTATATGCTTTGCATTCTTTGACCTAGTAATCCCCTATATAATAGGAGTAGGTATTAGTTGTCTTTGTATACTTAGCTGCTAAGTGTCTATAGTGTTGACATTTGAAGCACTATATTATCCTATAGTTACTTCTATGTATCTCTGTTTCTAATCTCTTATAGTCCTAGAACAATCCCTAGTCTAGTACTATATTAGCTTACTCTACACTCCCTACCTAGATAATTAGGGAAGACTGCTTCTTAGTCTCCTCGATTTTCCTTTTAATCTATACTACTTTTGTAATCTTTAGGCCTAGGTATATAGCTTAGTTTTATCTCTATAGGCTCTTAATATCCTGTTCTTCCTTAAAGCTTCTTATTATACTATAGGCTATAATTATGAATTACTGTTAGGAGACCTTTACTGTTTTCCCTATCTTAGTTATCTATTCTTTTTGTGTTTCTAGCTTCTTTTTGTCCTACTCTTATACTATAAATAGCTTGATTACCCCTTTTCCTTCGTTCCTAGCCCTAATTACCTCTTTAACTGCAATTCTTTCTATAATCTCTTTCCCTATAAGTCCTTAAATTTCCTTTTGCTCCTATAGGTCCGTAATATAGACTCTAACTACTGTCCTCGGGGGTTTTAGCGCCTCCTAACTAGCTACTACTGCCTAGGTACGGTAGTTTAGGCTTGTTTCCTATTGTTTCTTCGTAATCTTTGCTACGACTATATTAGCTACCTTTGTAATTACGTAGCTTGCCTAGTTATAGATTGCTTTTAGTCCTCTAAGGAGTTCTAAGATTATTATCCTATATACCCTCTTAGGGGTTCTTCTATCTTCCGCCTTTAGTACCTCCTCTGCCCTAGTATATAGTGCTTTCTATTCGTCCTCCCTTCCTTCTTAACTGTTTTCCCTTCGTCTCTAATTGTTTGCTGCTATTTTTTGTTCGTTAACTAGCGAATATAATCGTATAATATATAGATCCGATAGAAAATGTAATTTAAATGCTAGTACTAGCATATGCGACGACTCGAGCCCGACTCGATATACGAGTCGGACGGTAAAGAATAAAATTCTTACTGCGATTAGATTTGCTAGAATTTCTAGATCGCGACGATCCTATTAGACAAGATCTTTAACGTACGATCCTAAGGATCCTAAGGATCCTAAGGATCCTAAGGATCCTAAGGATCCTAAGGATCCTAAGCGATCCTATCGATAGGATCGTCGCGATTAGTAAAAAAGTTTCCGTAACGTAATTTACTCTATTAACGTCTCGCTTAATAATAAGTAAAGAAAGTTCTCGCTCTAAGATACCTCTCTTACTATATATACTAGTAGTATACTAAAGCTTTACCCTTAGCCTATTCTAGTATAATTATTATATTATTCCTTAACGAAAAAAAAAACAAACCTCTTTCCTCTATTATTATCCTTGTTAATAAAATAATTACGAGATAGTATACTAATCTTTTCCTTTTTTTATTATTAAGCTTAAAAGTTAACTTAACTAGATAGCTTCTATAAAGAATTCCTTAGATCTTAATAATAATAAAATAACTTCGCTAGATATCCTCGAGCTTATTATTAATAAATAGTTAGTATAGAGTATCTTATATAATAAGCCGAAGCGCTTCCTTCTAGTTTATTAACTTTTAATTAATCGAGATAGATTTCCTATAAAAGTCTGTTATTAAGACTTCTATAGAACGTACCTTACGAAAGAATCGTTACTATCTAGTCTTGTCTCGGCTTCTAAGACACTCTGTAATAAGTAGAGTTCCTGCTACTTCGGAAGATTAGACGAGGCGGAACCGGGGTTTTTTTCCCGTTAAGATAACAGCTATCTCAGCGAAAGAAGAAAGAAGGAGGAGAGTAATAAGTAATGACAATGAGTGAGTGAAGCCAGCACATCCTTTCCAGGGTCCAACTTTCTCGGATGCAAGCGCTTATTAAGTTCTGATTTGACGCCAAGGCTGGGCTCATCGTGCAGTCAGTCATCCGGCATCCGGGGAATATTCCAGGGAGATAATGAAACATGACGGTAAGTCAGAAGAATGCGTTTCATATGTATGTAGGTGTGGTTGTTGTCGAGCTGCGTGTTTGTGTATGGGAACGGATACTTGCTTGTTTTATTATGGCGTCTACTACCCTTTCATCATTCGCCAACAGTTGCATCGTCATGCATGACCTATGATACATTATTGTAGATTGAAGATCTCATCACAGGGACTGCTTAATAAAATGATTCCAGCCTGCTGCGCAGAGTCAAACAATCCCAGTTGAAGCCGAAATATGCCAAGGGAATCCTTGTGACAACTTGGAACGTCAGTGCTGAAGAAATATGTTTCCTTGGTAACTTGCATTATTGATCATCATCTCAGACATCAGGTGGAGGAAAACAAGTCTCTCCTTGTTATTATATAATGTCTCGTTCGCCGCCGGAGTTCGTGAAGCGGTGTTCTGGCTTTGCTCCCTTGTTCTGCATTTTAGGACCCATAACGCAATTCCAATTCCTGAGTCTATCGTGAAGGTCGGAGATTATTATTATTAGACATCAGGAATCTGCGGTCGAAATAAGGAATATTGGGTAAGAAGAAGTTCTCCACTTGCAGTCGTGGGATTTGTCAACCTCCCCACGCTGCTGCAGGAACCGGTCACGTTCGGCGAAGATGGTGCTGGCTGCGATACGAGTCGGACTGGCTGTGTGGTTGTTGGGAGGGGGGTTGGCATTATCTGCGCCGCTCGAAAAGCGAGGCAATTTGAGGCCCGTAATAAGCACTGATGTAAGGGAAATGTCTCGATGGCACTGTGAGGAGCAGAATGATGACTGACTCTGCTACAGTTCGCAGATCCGTCTATCATCAAGGTTGGAGATACTTGGTATGCATTTGCTTCGCAGTCGGTACATGACTACAAGAATATCAAAGTTCAGCTGGCGACCTCGAAGGACTTCAACTCCTGGACAGTCACTGGAAAGGATGCACTCGGCAAGATGGGTCCCTGGGTACAAGCAAATAGTCCGGAGGTGTGGGCTCCTTCCGTAAGTCGAAGACCTGATGGCAGATTCTTGATGTATTATTCTGCCGTGACGCAGACCGCTGGTAACGGACGTTTCCATTGTGTGGGTACTGCTGTAGCGGACCATGTTGAAGGACCTTATAATTCGAACACCGATCAACCATTTGCGTGTCCGACAGATCAAGGCGGTGCTGTGGATGCTTCATATTTCCGGGACGGCAACAACCACTATGCTCTTTACAAAGTCGACGCAAACGCATTAGGTAATGGCGGATCATGCGGAAACGGGCGGGCACCTATAAAGAAGACCCCGATCATGATCCAGCAAGTACAGGCGGACGGAACGACAAAAATTGGTGGTCCAGTACAATTGATCGAGAATGGTTTGCAGGACGGGCCACTTGTTGAGGCGCCGTACATGATTAAGAACAGCGACGGCGTGTACGTGCTGTTTTTCTCATCGAACTGCTGGCTCACGGACAAGTACGATGTCGCTTATGCTACCAGCCAAAGCCCTCTGGGACCTTTCGACAAACGGAATGCACCGCTGTATGTGACTGGAACGCAAGGAATGATCGGACCCGGCGGTGCCAGTGTGGCAGAGGACGGTGTACACATCGTCTTGCACGGATATGAGGATCGCAATCGAGTTGGCGGCGGCAGACGATCTCTGTACGTGACGAGAATCAATGCGAGAGGACGGAAAGTCGTGCCGGCGTAATATCTGAGAGCATTTGTTGGAGTCACTGCCAGCGTCATATTGCATAGTTGAATTTACGATACCCAGGATACGTAAGCATCAGGTCGGAATGAGAGCGTCTGCATGCGCAGCCGTGGAAGTCCTGATCCCGCCTTCCCAGATCTCGAATGTGGTGGTGCTTTCTGCGCACCAAGCGCCAAATACGACTTTCATGGCGCGGTTCCAACCAATTAGATTGCGCTCATCTCCAGGAGCATAAGGCTTGGTTTCGTAGATGGGGTGCTTCAGAAGAGCAATGCGTGCAGAGAGCTGGTTAGTCCAGGTCAGACCCAGGCTTGGCGTCTTCAGACTGGTCACAGATGGGTCGTCTCCCCAGCCAGTGAAGAATCTTTGCTGATGATCGAGAGCAAGAGGATCATCGTGGGACAGCAAGCCAGCGGAGTTGGGGTGCGAGCGTTGTTGAGTCGGTGCAAATGGCGGGAGTGGCGATCCTGGTCGTGTGCTTTGCGTTGATTGAGGGGGAAGTGCGAGCGCTGGCTCTGTGCTTGAGAATCGATCGGCGACCTGATTAGCGACTACCACTGCAATATCATACTTCTGAGCGAGCGATCTTAACAACGAGGCGGTCTTGGCCAGTTGTGCACTGCGCTTTGCGCGTGCTTCAGAGCCCTTTCTGCCCGGGCCGCCTCTGTCGAATTCAGCGCGGTAGTTAGCCGCGACGGAATCGACGACAAGGAGGCCAACATTGTGCTTCTCGATGGCGACGGGAACCTGATATCGCAGGATGTGCTCCTGTGCTTCCAGGTCGTGAAGATGGGTGCTGTGGACGTTGCTGAGGGAAGGCCGTTCTGCGGGCGGCAAGGCGACTAGTTTGGGATGATTCGTCAATATCTGCGTCAGTCGGGTCGTCTGCAGCGGGGCTTCTGTGGAGATGTAAAGAGCTGCCGTGCCGTGGCGGGGTGTCGAATCAGGCGTCGTCACAGACATCTGTACTGCCAGGAGCAAAGTCAAGAGAAACTGTGTTTTGCCCGCAGCGCTGCAGAACAAACCGGTCAGATGGCACGCACGTGACGCGACATACGAAATCAACCATGTCCTCACCTCTCACCGACAATCTCGGTCAAGTGGCCGCGAGCGATGCCGCCTCCGAGCACTGTGTCCAGATGGTCGTGCAAGGTGGGAATCATGCCACGCTCGCCATCGCCGCGTTGTGAAGCACGTGCTGATGTGGTATCCACGTGCAAAGCGTCCACCAACGCATCCGCCAGTTTCTTCACCTCGCCGGGCGGAACATGAGCGCGCCTGGCGACCTGGAGCGCGTCCAGGGTGAGCACATCGGAGGTGGAAATGCGGGCGCGCTCGAGCGACGGCAGGATGTGGGCGTGATTGGAGATGTCAAAGTCGGGCAAGACGGTGAGCGCGTTCATCGATCGGCATGCATGTGTCGCGGTGTAGCGGGATGCCGATGATGATATGCGTGTGCTTTCTGTGGACGTCTGGGCGCGGTCATGGCCGCCAGGGAAAGTGGTGGTGGAAGGGCTTGCTTGGCTTGGCTTGGCTTGGCTTCGCTTCGCTTCGCTCGGGTGAAAGGCGCCGCAAGAACATGACATGGTCACGTGCCTCACTCGACGACACACTCACTGCTCGGCTGTTGTCTTGGGCCCGCCATATAGCATCCCAGCCCAGCCTCGCCATGACTGCTCCTTCCGCTCACCACATCTCACCGGCATCCCATCCCCCAGCACATTCCCATTAGGCGGCGGCGGCGTGCTTTGACAGCTGCATACCCTCCCCTCCCCTCCCCTCCCCTACCCCTACCTTACCCTGGCGCCTCGCCGGACCTCCCTCCTGCAAAGCTAGCTCTAGTGCCTCCGACCCCCGAGCACTCCACGACTTCCTGTCGTCCGCCCATATACAATACAGTATATCGAGAGGACAACCCGACATTTGGCGGAGCGCTTCGTCGAAAGCAGTCAGCCTCTCCAGCCCTTCCGCAGCGGCTCCGCATCCACTTCGCTTCGCCTGAGAGGAGAGGCATCAAAGCTGCCAAAGCCAGGCGTGAGAGCCTCTGACCAGGTCAGTCTGCGCCTTGTCTTTCCGGTGACCTGCGTGAAGTGCCGCACCCGCACTCTTCGGTGCAACGGCCATCCCACGTGCAATCATCATGAGCCGCACGAGCCTCTACCACAGCCGGGCCTGGAGCTCTACAATGTATCTATGCCTGGCTCAGCCTGTTACGCCTTTGCGGGGCTCTCGTGCTTGATATCTACCCCCGAGCTGCTCCTTTTAACCACTTGCCTATTCTCAACCCATCTTGGCCGGCCAAGGCATGTCCTCCAACGCTTAAGCGCCTTTCGATGCCGCACTACTATCATCACGATTGCCATTACTTCTACCGCACCACCCTGCGTGGCTTGTCCATCGCCACGCTTGTCTCTCCTTTACATTCTTGATCCATAGCAGATGCTTACATTCATCATGTCTCCAGTGAGGACCCTGCCGTCTATCGACGAACGCATTGCCAAGGCAAACAGACGAGACTCCGGCGTCATGGGAGAACGATCACAGGAGAATGCCAAAGAGGTGGCCCAGAATTATTCGAAGGAGCAAACCGATCCGTTGGCATCGCACAAGAACCCGGAGTCCAGACCGGGAGTCACCTTCGCAGCTCAGGACAAGCTGCCAAAGTTGCCCATCCCGGACCTTGAACAGACTTGCAAACGATATCTTGAGTCTGTGGATCCTCTTCAGAATGCACGTGAACATGCCGACAGTGAGCGTGCCGTTCGGGAATTCCTCCGAACAGATGGCCCACAGCTTCAGGAGAAGCTCAAAGAGTATTCCGCCAACAAGAGCAACTACATCGAGCAGTTCTGGTACGATTCATATCTAAACTTTGACAACCCTGTTGTGCTTAATTTGAATCCATTTTTCTTGCTTGAGGACGATCCAACACCAGCACGTAACAACCAGGTCACGAGAGCCGCTTCGCTTGTCGTGTCGGCACTTTCATTCGCACGTGCCGTCAGGAAAGAAGAGCTACCTCCGGACATGATCCGTGGTCAGCCTTTGGACATGTACCAGTACTCTCGACTGTTTGGCACCGCCCGTATACCGACCGATAGCGGTTGTCAGATCGGCCAGGACCCAACTGCGAAGCACATCGTCGTGCTCTGCCGTGGACAATTCTATTGGTTCGATGCCCTCGATGACAACAACGACCTCATCATGACCGAGAAGGACGTGGCTCTGAATCTTCAAGTCATTACAGAGGATGCCGAGCAGACTCCAATCCACAGCCAAGCGAAAGGAGCTCTTGGTGTGCTCAGCACCGAGAACCGGAAGATTTGGTCCAGCTTGCGAGATCTCATTAGCAAGGATGAAGGCTCCAACAACAGCGACTGCCTCAATATTGTCGACTCGGCACTCTTCATCCTCTGTCTGGACTATACGGAGCCGAAGACCAGCGCGGAACTATGCATGAATATGCTATGCGGTACATCAGAAATCGAGCGTGGTGTCCAAGTTGGTACATGTACGAACCGATGGTACGACAAGCTTCAGATCATTGTTTGCAAGAACGGCAGTGCAGGCATCAACTTCGAGCATACTGGTGTTGATGGACATACCGTGCTTCGTTTCGCATCCGACGTCTACACTGATACAATTCTTCGATTCGCACGTACCATCAACGGCCAGGCACCATCACTATGGGCATCACAGTCTCCCGATCCATCGAAACGAGATCCCAAGAGCTTTGGCGATGTGAGCACCACACCACACAAGCTGGAGTGGGACATGGTTTCCGAGCTCACGACCGCCTTACGGTTTGCAGAGACCAGGCTCGCAGATCTCATCCAGCAGAATGAGTTCCAGACTTTAGAATTCGGCGAGTACGGCAAGAATTTCATCACCTCCATGGGCTTCTCGCCAGACGCCTTCGTGCAAATGGCATTCCAGGCCGCATACTACGGTATGTACGGTCGGATCGAGTCCGTCTACGAACCAGCCATGACCAAAGCATTCTTCCACGGTCGAACCGAAGCAATCAGATCCGCCACACATGAAAGCGTAGAATTCGTACGGACCTTCTGGGCAGAGAATCCTCCGGCGAAAAAAGTCGAAGCGCTCAAAAAAGCTTGCGAAAAACACGCCGCTTTGACCAAAGAATGTGCCAAAGCCCAAGGCTTCGATCGACACTTATACGCCTTGATGTGTCTCTGGCAACGCCAAGTCGACGGCGATCCAGAACTCACGGGAGGAAGTACCACCGGCGACGGTGCCAGCACCAACGGCTGGAGTAGTCCCACGTCCGACCGCGACCCCAACAGCATCGCCGCCTCACCAAAACGCAGCAGCTACACCAGCGAAGACTCGGAAAGTCCCAGCCGACACCGCGAACACGCCATCCTCCCCACCATCTTCGCCGACCCGGGCTGGGACAAAATCAACAACACCATCCTCTCGACCTCCAACTGCGGAAACCCCTCTCTCCGCCACTTCGGTTTCGGCCCGACTTCCGGCGACGGCTTTGGAATCGGCTACATCATCAAAGACGGCAGCGTCTCCATTTGCGCGAGTAGCAAACACCGTCAAACGACGAGATACATCGCAGCGCTGGAATCTTATTTTTTGGAAATCCGGAGACTTTTACGACAGACGTATCGACGCGGGACGGCGACGGACAAAAGCGCGAGTCGGGCGCGAGAGGCCGAGGATTTGAAGCCGCATCGAGGGCATAGGTTGAAGAGTCGGGGGAGGATGGTGGATGGGGGGAGTGCGGGGAAAGGTGTGGAGATTGATAGTAGTAGTGTTGCGTCTGATGAGGATGATATGGGTGGATGTAAGTTTTCTTCTGCCTCGGACATTCAAGTTTTGTTTTTGTTTTTGAGGTGTAATATCGATGATACTGACTGATGTGATACAGATGGCTTCTTTGATGCAGGCATGCTGTTACAAGCACTCAAGGCGAAAGATGAGGCTGCGGAGAGACCTAGTGAGAAAGCGCAGCAGAGGAGAGAAGTTGGGAAGAAGTTGCGGCTGATGGAATATTGATCTCGGAAAAAAGGCAAAGGCATATTTTGATTGATGATAAGAAGGAGATGCATGATGCATTTAAGGATTCGGAAGGATTTTGCATGAGTTGGATGGAGGATGTAGATGAGGAAAGAATGCATGCATAAGTGTAGCAAGGAATGAGCATGTGTTAAAAATCTTCACATTTCTTTCTTTTTGCCGGGTGAAGAGACTCAAATTTTAGGATCGAGTCCATTACAGCCCCTCGAAAACGTCTTCTTGAAATATGGAAGAAAAATGCACTCTGAATGAAGTCGAAGAGGTGAGGACATGACTTGCTCCTCACCAAACGCAACCCGCTCGTGAGCGACGGTGTCATTAATATGCGTAGCTACTGTGTTACAGATCGGCATCATGTGTCCAACTCATGCTTCCATGCTGAGAAGTTCACCATACCCAAAACCAGACTGACATGGTCGATGGACCGGTCATATTTGTATCGATTCGAAAACGCCGACGCCATGCTGTAATAAATCGAACAATAGGTCATGACGAGTTACTTCGCCTGCATGACATCGACATATCGACCACCTTTCTTCTTCTTGACTGTGCCGCCCGCTTTTCTTGCCGTGGGCTCGCCAAGCAAGTCGTCCAGACTGCTGGCATTGGACATGCTTGTAGGAGGTCGACTCGGCGGCTTGGATCCAGGTCCAGTTCCATTTAGGGCTGCGATCGCAGGGTTCAAAGGCATCGCACCAGAGTCAGACCCGCCCGCAGGAGTGCCAATTCGCGAGGGAGGACCTGATGGAAGACTTTGACCTGGCTGAGGAGAACCGGAGATTGATGGGGGATGAGGAGGTGCGGCCCCAGCAAGGCCAACTCCAGACGTGACTCTGCTTGGTGGGCCGGAAGGAGGTCCCACTGCAGCGCTCGTGACTCTGCTTGCGCCTCCTTTTGGCGGAGGTGGTGTAGCAGCCGCTGCAGTCTGAGCAGACTGAGGATCTTTCTTATTCACCCACTTGCCCAGATCTTTGTCGAAGTAGAAAGAGTTTTCCTCGCCAAGCTTTGCTTTGATGGGTTTATTCGGGGCTGAATGTGGCATTGACGTGTCTTTCTTGCCACCAAACCAGCCTCCGCCGCCCAGGCCAACACTTCCGAACCAACCTTTTTTACCTTCTTTTGGCGCACTATCGCGTGCTGCGTCTGCCTCGGCAGCTTTGCGGAAGGCTTCTTCGGCGATGCGGTCTGCATCCGACTTTGACATTGTGGATGACTGGTTTGCCGAAGTGTTGGTAGCTGGTGTAGACGACTTGACAGCTGCAGCGCGCGCAATAAGATCGTCATCGTCGTCATCGTCCATCATTTTCCGTCTAGGCTTCTCCTCTGCTTCTTCAGCCTCGGGCTCTGGTTCGTAAGGCTGATAGCTGGGCGGCTCGTAGCCATAGCCCGACGAAGGCGGTTCATACCCGAGGCTCGGAGAAGGCTGGTTGCTCTCTGCGCTGCTTGGCGGCTGATATCCTCCGTCCTCAGGACCTTGTATCGTTTCTTCAGTATCAAAGGCCGGTACGGGAGAATCGAATCCTTGCACAGCAGGTGCTACAGACTGACGAGGTGCGATCGTCTGGTATGTGTTCGCTCTTGACTGCTCCGCAAGTGCAGGTCTCGGCTCATAGCTGGCGGATGAATACTGAGGGCTTCCTCTTCTTGAGTCGGACAAGTATGGCACTCCATAGTCAGAGACAGCTCTATTGGCCTCTGGCCTAGCCACGTCCAGACCCCCCGAAGAAGGCCGCGGTGATGGTGCAGGCGCATATCTCCTCTCGGACGAAGCGCGGTGTGGTTCACCCGCAGGCATTCCCATACTACCAGCAGCAAGAGGTGCATACTTGCTACCATTCACTGCTCCGGCTGAGGGAGCATACTTGCTTGGCGCTGAAGATGGTGCGAAAGGCTGCTGCGGGAAAGGTGTTGACATGGGAGGCTGCGCATATGGAGGTGCGGCACTGCCGCCCATCATCGCATTGTAAAGTCCCTCTCCCGAGCCGCGGCGACTGAGCTCCGAAGATTCGCCGTTGACCATTCCGAACACCTCACTGCCTGGACCACCCCCAGAAGCATTGGAATCTTGATCGTCGTCACCAGAGACAAACTTTGTGAACCAGCTGGAGGTCTTTGAGGTCACCTTATTCATCGCGCCCTTGCTGAGCAGGCCTCTGCCGTCGGTTTGAGGAGTCTGCGACAGGAACGCCGAGAGATCTGCGACAGTCTGTGTGAAGGTTGGGTGATAATATGGCGATGGCTTGGTAGTCGATTGGTAGGCCGTCGTGATGTGGTCGCAGTAGTTCGATGCTTTAGACTTAAGGCCTGATGCTGCAAGCTGTTGCGCGTGCACGAGCTTCCAGCTCTGCAGATGCGCAATGTACTCTGGCCGCTGCATCGATAGCGAAGAAGCCCATTCGTAAATCTCGGTCAAGATCACAGCGTCCAAATCGTGGCCAAGCTCCGAGCCACTCGCACCAATCAGCACAAAGGTCGCTTCGGCGTCGTCGTTACCAGTATGTCTGGCCAGTTGTCTGGCGAACAAGAAACAACTATGCGCGGCCTCGGCCCGGTCATAGCCTGCAAGCAGTTTTCCGAGTGCGAGCAGAGAGTGCCCGTCTGTTGGCGTGCGATTTCCCGCGATCAAGCCAAGAGTCTCTTGCCATTGATCAAGACCTTCCAGTGGATTTGAAGCAATGGCACTACCAGTCTTGGATACCATCTGCCGACCCTCTCTCGCACTTGGAGGCACAAGCTCGTCAACACATTCTTCTGCATTGCCTGCAAAGACCTGATACAGTGCGGCTAGGGATCGCGCATCGCTGCCAACGGTCTTGACTTGACTTCGCACGAATGACTGAATGACCTGCTTCCATATTTCAGGGCCGAGAGTCGAGGCAATAAGCATTGCGTGACCCCACATTTTCTTTTCTTCTGCCAGCCAAACAGCACGCTCACGCTGTCCTTCGAGTAGAGCTTGTCGAAGCTGGAAGACTACCGCCTTATCCACAGAGTCTGCTTGGACAGCATCTCCACCTTGCATTGTTGCGATCGGGCTCTGCAACTGTGCAACCTGGCTCATTTGGCTAAGATTAGGAAGCAGAACGGCACGGAGCTCATCCTCAATTTTCTTGTCGCCTTCAAGCTTTCCGTCATGATCGACAAAGACTTTCATGATCCTCCAAAGCGTGAGCTTCTCCTCTGCTCGCTTTTTGAGATCTGGCGCTGTTTCGAAATCCATTCTCACGTGCTGTGCTCGTTGCTCAAGAACTTCAATCTTTGTCGTCATCCAAGCGGCGACATCCTTCTTCTTCTTGGCTTTGAGCGACAGCGGTCCAGGAAACTTTGCGTTGATATCGTCTATGGGCATGAAAGTCGTTGCCTGCTCCACGTTAATGGATCCGGGCGTGCATTTGATGCTTGGAAGGCCGTGGCCGGCAGTGTAGAATGGTGTCTGCTTTGGGAAGCTACTGATGACTGCACCTGAATCTCCCCAGTGAAAGATCGGTTGGCCTTTCCATCGCTGCAAAGGATCCTGTGCACGTTGATCACTTGGCGGCACAACATTCAGGTCTCGTGAGAATTGACGTCGATGAGGCAGGAACGAAGTACGATGAGGGCCGGTTCCTGATGATAGCATTGAGCTCTGGATGCCTGCAATACTCACTTGCTCGGGAGGCCCTTGAGCAGCATACTTCGAGACCTTCATGACGGCTGCAGAAGATGATTGTGTCTGTGGTCGTTGCGGAGAGGATATGATGGTCGCGCTTGGTCCTCGCTGATCAATTGGAGAGTAGCTTAAGCTGGTTGCTCGCTCAGGAGACATGATAGCTGGCGAAGCACGGCCCCCACTGGCCTTTGGAGGCGACGATGGCAGTGAAGGTGCGCTGCGGACAAACTCGTTGACCTGTGCAGCTTGTGGCTTTTCATGGTATGCTAGCGGGCTGCTCGTCCTCGGCGCAAATGCGTGGGACTGCGGATGCTGGATCCCAGGATATGCAGTAGGAGTCACTGTCGAAGGTGCAGGGCCATACTTTTTCGCGGCCGCTTGCGCAGCTGGCGCAGGAGAATATCGCGATGCTGCTGGTGGAGCTTGACCGCTGGGCGGCGCCGGAGAGAAGCGATTCTGAGCCTGCGACGGAGTCGGAAGGCTATTCGGTGAGTATCGCTGGTTCACATGTGGCGCAGAAGGCGTTTGGATAGGTGTCGGTGCAGTGGGCTGATCTGGTAACAGCGGGAGCCTTTCGGGCTGAGACAAGCCGGGATAGGGCTGTTGTGCAGGTGTCGGGGGAGCTTGAGGTCTCTGAAGTGGTTGTACTGGCGGTGCCGGGCCACGAAGAGCCTGCTGCTGCTGCTGCGGCAATCCTGTCTGTGGTTGAGGCGTGTAAGCGCCAGATGGACGAGCTCGCGGCTTGGCAGTCATTGGAAGGTCTTCGAAGAAGCCACTTGCGTTGCTCGTCCTTGGGGTCGACTTTTGCGCGACTGCACCTCCCATCGCTGTGTTAGGCACAACCCCTGAGCTCGAAGGCGGAGTCAAGCTGACGGGCTGCGAACCTGCAGTAGGTGGTCGAGCAAGAAGTGGATGCTCATTTTGCGAGGACACGCTACTGCTTCTCGGCGGTGGCGTGGGCGCTGCTTGCGAAGTCGAGGGTGCTTGCCGCGGTCTCTGCCGGGGTTGTTTCAGAACATCCATAGGAAGGTCGTATGGTGATTGGTAGCCACCTTTGGCTTTGTCCACGAAGCTCTGTGCTGATTGAGCACTGGGTCGCTGCGGTGGCTGCTGTATCGGCGCGCCTTGGTTGTATACATCGTACAATCCGGTTGTCGGCGTGCCTGCAGACCTGCCATGGCTTTGGCTCAGCTGTAGGGGGGCTGCAGCATATGAATTCGCCTGTGGTGCCCTTGGCACAGATTGCTGAGCTGTCTGAGGAACATACGAACCCGCTCTTGTTTGCAGATCTTTTGATACCTGTTGCACATTCTGCAAAGGCGGCGCAGGCACAGACTCCGAGAGCAACTCATCCTCCAGAAAACCATCGTCGTCGTCTCCAAAGAACGATGAGGGGTCAAGAGCAACTTCATCTAGCAAATCATCGTCGCCCAAAGCCGCAGCGAATGCAGCAGCCATGTCATCGTCAACTTGATCGGCCAGAGCGGTCACTGGTGCGGCCGTTGTAGGTGCTTCCTCGGCGGTAGCTACCGGGATTGTGGACGATAGACTAGACTCCTCAATTGATGTATTTGATGTTCCCACGAGCTCTCCGAACATATCGTCAGATCCCAATCCACCCCATGTGTCTTTCCGCCGATGTCCCTTTACGTGTTGGCTCTCAGCAGTCGCAGTCACATCTTGCCCCCCGAGGAAATCAAAAGCGTCTTCGTTTGCGGTGGATCCCCAGGCATCATATGATGGCTTGCTGACCGCGTCAACTGGAGGGAAAGGATGGACCGAGGCCGTCTGAACCGGCGTCGAATGCTCATCGTCAAGCAGGTCTCCGAACGTCTTATCATCGCCAGCAGCTGGCCATCCGTCATCGACGCTTGTTTTGATCTCTTGCACCTCCTCTCTCGCTTCTTTTTTGGGGAGCTCTGTAAAGTTGGTCGTGAAACTGCGCTCGGTTTGTCCAATCTGTGGTCTAGACTTTGCTATTGGTTGTCCTGGAGCAGCAGCCCCATCGAAATCATCCAAAACCGAGTCTTCCCCAATGACTTCCATTGTCGCGTCCTGTCTCGTATCTTGAACGGTAGGCGGAGCTTCCGGATCATCAAGTAGAGGCGCACTAGGAGCTTCGTCCACAGCTTCCTCCATCGCCGTGACCTCACCCTGGTGCTCGTACTCCAACGCAGCCTCCTGTAGTCGTTGTTGAGACTTGGCGATCTCGGTCTCGAAATTCAAATCGGTGGCAACAGGCGTCTGCATCCCAGGAGTACCAATCCACATGTGGTCATGAGGCGAGTCAGGCATATCTGTTTCCAGCTGCAATTCTTGCGCCGGCACAGACTCTCCCTGGCGGAATATGGGAGTCTCGGCCTCAATCTGATCAATCGCTGTAAGAGGCTCATCGTCGCTGTCTAAAACAGGTCCCTGAGTACTAGCGCGTCTGCTCATCAGGCTTTCTGCGTCGCTTTCCGTGTTGGGTAATTGTGACATCTGCTCAGGCGCGACCACTTGAGATGTCTGGCGCATGTTGGTCAGCACGCTGATGCTTTGTTTTCGGCTGGGCGATTCAGCCCTGTTGCCGTCATCCTCCTGCACATGCTCCATCGACTCTGCTTGCGGCTGCGAGCTCGGCTTCTCGGTCGTGGGTTGCGGGAAGGTATCGTGAAGTTCGAGCTCGGAGGCTGTGCGTGTGCGTATCGTCCTTGCGTGGCGCACATTAGAGTCGGGTCGCTGGGCTGGGTGCCATGCGCCTTCGCCAGGCACGACGGCGGCTGGGTCTGAGTTGGAAGCTGAAGACAATGCTGGCGCGGGTGCTGACGTCCAGGCACTCCCGAAGTCTGGGTATGCATCGTCGCTCATCGTGACAGCCTCCGCCCCGGCCGCGGGGTTATTGTTCGAGAGCGTGTAAGGTGCGGAATCTGCGCATTGCCTCGTCAGTACGGTATTGGATATCTGGCAATGCAAGCTGTTGTTCTGGTGGTGTTTCTGGCCCGGGCAGGGAAGCCACGTTGCGCCGAAGGTATCTTTGGAATCCCTGTTCTGTTGTCGGATGCGGCATGTGCATGCACACAGATAGCACCGACTTACCTATAATACAGATGTGTGTCTATGAAGAAGGACAGGCCATGTCCAATGCGTGTCGTGTCGCCAGGTGCTTACGAGCATCAAAGACGAACAACACGAGTGCCAGGAGGCGTGATTTGTGGGAGGCAAAGGGTGGCCATAAGGGAACTACGCGCGATCTGCAGCCGTAGCTTGTGGCGCATGTGCCGCCGGAGTCCGCATTAAAGAATACCTTAATTGCATGTGAGCGTGAGCGTGGTGGACACACTGTGCATGCGACGTTGCTGGGACTAGGAGACTTGGGCAGCAGACAAAGGCGAATCTTTACCCATACCTCGCGACACCATCCCACGAATTCTCACCCCCGATACTCAGCAGCGTGTACAACACTACCATACCTTCCTCCGACCCCTAAGCAATGACATGAGGCATGACCAGTCCGAATGGATACCACAAACCCCTCGACCAGGACGATCCCTTTGACGACGATGGCGACTCGGAGGAGGATCTCGTGCTTCATGGGCTAGATCCGCAGACCACGACAACTGCGCCAGCGAGAACAACACCATCCACGCAGCCGGGTTCTGCTCGCATCAGTTATGACTTTGGCGCCCGCATACCACTGCGTAACTTGCGCTTTGGTGGGAGACGGCGGCCAGTGAATAGCGATCAGTATGAGTTGCACGAAGAATCTGGTCAGCGCATCAGTGCAGCCAGCTCGGGCCAAAGTCAGAATGATGATGCGCCTTTACTGCAGGAGACACACGAAGGAAGTCTAAGGAGCACCTCACAGCAGGCTTCGTATGGCTTTGGAGAGCATTCGCGGTCGAAAAAGGGCTTGCTGTCCTTCTTGCCATTGGTGAATCGATCCACTTCTATACACCTCCCATCTTCAGCAGACGCCGACGAGCCGGAGGACGAGCATGACCCAGCGGCGACCAGATCGATAGCAGTCGGGCAAAAGCAGGCCTCGCGATTCCCTTTCAATGCTATATCGAATGCGAAATACACACCATGGAGCTTTCTACCGAGAACCCTCTTCAACGAGTTCAAATTCTTCTTCAATATGTACTTCTTGCTGGTGGCATTGTCGCAGATCATACCCGCACTGCGCATAGGATATCTGAGCACATATGTTGCACCATTGGCATTTGTGTTGAGCATTACTCTCGGCAAGGAAGCTTACGACGATATCAACAGAAGAAAGAGGGATAACGAAGCCAACAGCGAAGCATATAAAGTATTACGATTTGATGACTTTGGGGCGGACGAGCTGAATGGAAGCACCGCAAGCAAAAAAAGAAAGATTAAGAGCATAGCGGAAAAGAAAAAAGGGAAGCGCAGGCGTGTCCCAATGGACGACGATGCAAGATTGCAGCAGACCGAGGATGAGGAATATAGAACTGAAGGGCTTGGGAGGCCTTCGACTAGCGTTACAGAGATGATGAAGCCGTCAAGAGACCTCAAAGTTGGAGATGTGCTGGTCCTTGGAAAAGACCAGAGAGTGCCAGCCGACGTGGTGATCTTGAAGAGCTTCAGCACTGAAGTCGTTGCCCAAGAAGCAATGACCGAGCAAAGGAGATCTGATCCGACGCTACTAGATCTTGGGAAAGGAGCAGCTTCCTCTGACGCTCAAGAAAGGGCCCGGGCATCATCAGGCCAAGGTCTTGAAAACGAGACCACAACTTCAGACCCTAGTGGTGGGGGCGAAGCGTTTATTCGCACCGATCAGCTTGACGGAGAAACCGATTGGAAGTTGCGCCTTGCGACGCCAGTTGCCCAAAACCTCAGTCCCAGCGAATATGTGCGACTATGCGTGACAGCTGGAAAGCCTGACAAGAGAGTCAATGACTTCGTCGGAACGATCGAGCTGGAAGCCAAAGAGCGACGAGAGCGAGATCCTCTCATCACCAATGGGCGAGCTACAGGAGAAGAAAATTTAGGCCGACAATCAAGCCCACTTACGATTGATAACACCGCATGGGCAAACACAGTCATCGCCTCGTCGACCACGGTGCACGCTCTAGTGGTCTATACAGGCTCACAGACCCGAGCAGCCCTGTCCACATCTGCGTCGAGGTCGAAAACGGGACTGCTCGAGCTAGAGATCAACAGCCTGGTGAAGATTCTGTGTCTACTTACAGCGGCACTGAGCATAATCCTCGTGGCCCTCGAAGGCTTCAAGAACGAGTGGTATATTGCTGCCATGCGATTCTTGATCCTTTTCAGTACCATTGTCCCAATCTCACTCCGTGTCAACCTGGACTTGGGCAAAAGTGTCTACGCCTATTTCATTCACCGTGATACTGGAATACCAGGCACAATAGTTCGAACGAGCACGATACCCGAAGATCTGGGCCGCATTGAGTACCTGCTCAGCGACAAAACCGGTACATTGACCAGGAATGAGATGGAACTTCGCAAAGTCCATGTCGGGACTGTGAGTTATGGTGGCGAAGCAATGGAAGAAGTCAGTGGCTATGTCAAGCAAGCTTTTGAGGTCGCAGATGATGCCGAAAGAGAAGCCTTGTTTACGCCGTCTGCAGGCATTGGCTCCTTGAGTGGCGCCACACGGACAAGACGCGAAATTGGTCTGCGTGTACGAGACCTCGTACTCGCTCTGGCTTTATGTCACAACGTAACGCCAACGACTGAAGAGGACGAAAATGGCACACCCAAGATATCCTACCAGGCATCATCTCCGGATGAGATTGCTATCGTGCAGTGGACTGAACAAGTCGGGCTTCGGCTCTCGCACCGCGATCGAAAAAGCATATCCCTACAGTACACTGGCAGCGATCGAGTGGTGGTAAAAGTGGAGATCTTGAACGTATTTCCATTCACGAGCGACAGCAAACGAATGGGCATCATCTGTCGCTTTCTCCGCAGCGGTGCTCAGAATGGGAATGAAGCAGGAGAAATTGTGTTCTTGCAGAAGGGTGCCGATACTGTCATGACATCCATCGTCGCCTCCAACGACTGGCTAGATGAAGAGACTGGTAACATGGCACGTGAGGGCTTGAGAACGCTCGTTGTAGGGCGCAAATCGATGTCAGCTCGGCAATATGCGGCATTCAATGCTGCCTATTCTGCTGCCTCTTTGTCGCTTGTCGGTCGTGATGCTGCCATGGCAGAGGTCGTGAAGCAGCACCTGGAGAACAATCTGGATCTTCTTGGTGTGACAGGCGTAGAAGACAAGCTTCAGCCGAAAGTAAAGCCAAGTCTCGAGCTTTTGCGCAATGCGGGAATCAAGATATGGATGCTTACTGGCGATAAAGTGGAAACAGCGCGGTGTGTCGCGGTCTCTTCTCGGCTCGTGTCTCGGCAGCAGACCATACACACCATTGCAGGATTAAAGAACCGCAACCTTGCTCTCGATGCTTTGAGCCCTCTGCGAAGCCAGGCCAATGCAGCTCTGCTGATCGATGGACAGTCTCTTGCATTGCTCTTGCAATACCATCGAGACGCTTTCATCACTACAGCTGTCAAGCTCCCTGCCGTCATTGCCTGTCGCTGCTCTCCGACCCAGAAAGCAGACGTTGCACACCTCATCCGCGCGTACACGAAGAAGCGTATAGCCTGCATCGGCGATGGAGGTAACGACGTCTCCATGATTCAAGCGGCGGACGTTGGCGTCGGTATCGTAGGCAAGGAAGGGAAGCAGGCCTCCTTGGCTGCCGACTTCAGCATCACGCAATTTGCGCATCTCACGAAACTGCTTGTCTGGCATGGGCGCAACAGCTATAGGCGAAGTGCTAAACTGGCGCAGTTCGTCATGCATCGTGGGCTCATCATCTCCATCTGCCAGACTGTCTTCAGCATAGCTTCCAAATTTGAGCCAATCGCTCTCTACCGAGACTGGCTGCTTGTTGGCTATGCGACCGTATACACCATGGCGCCAGTCTTCAGTCTGGTTCTTGACAAAGATGTTGACGAGGGGCTTGCGAATCTGTACCCAGAGCTCTACAAGGAGCTCACTTTGGGCAAAAGTCTATCGTATCGATCATTCTTCATCTGGGTGGCGATCTCGATCTACCAAGGCCTCATAATCCAGGGCGGCTCAGAACTTCTCATGCCCGGCTTCAACAAGAACGCACCTTTGGACGACCCTACCTATCAACCTTTATCTACTCCTGGTTTCAAGAAGATGGTGAGCGTCAGCTATACTGTACTCATTGTAAACGAGCTTGTCATGGTCGCCGCCGAAATCACGACTTGGCACCCGATTATGATCTTCAGCATATTGGGCACAGCGGCGGCGTACTTTGGATCCATTCCTGCACTGAAGGGATACTTTGAGCTGCATTTCATTGCGAGTCCTGGGTTTTGGTGGAGGTTTGCTGTCATTGCTGCAGCAAGCCTGGGTCCAGTGTATGGGGGTAAACTCATTAGAAGAACTGTCAAGCCGCCCTCTTACAGAAAGGTGAGAGGATAATCACAACGATGTATGCAGTGTTTTTGAATAGCATAGCGAAGCATATTGAACATGTCAAGTGTCACGCCCGTCGGGGTTGGGTGTCGTCGCTCCTTCCTTCGGCGCGTGAAAGGCTGCCACGCGACGGGAGGGAGAGAGTTGCCTGACAGCTGGCTGAAACTCCCGTCACACCGAACACAGCATGCTACAATTCAGCAACGACACATCCACGAAACCAAACATGGCGCCTCGGCCACCCTCCAAGAAGCGCGAAGGATCTAACAACATGTCTGGCTACGAGCCATGGTCGACGTCTTCGAGGCTCGTCACTGGAGGCGCTCTTGCCCAAATGTCTACGTTCAGCAAAGACAGTCTCAATTTTCAGCATCTTGTGAAGATTGAGCATGAAGATGCATTCAAGCTCACTCCTGTACGCTTATAAACGCCCATGCTTGATAGAGTCTACCGAAGACGCGCCGCTGACTGCCACGCTTTAGCTCACCATTACCGAAGGCTCCTTCGCGGGTCGTCATGTTCTTATGCTCGAGCCAGTGACCGATCATTTCCGCTTCCTGGATTTGCCTCCTGAGATCCGCAATCTGATATATGATGAGCTGCTTCGGGAGCACCGTCCGGTCAGGATTGCCACTTACAAGGCCAAAGGTCGTGCTCGACGAGCGGTCAGAAGCACTCTGCACCAAAGCCATCCTGGGCTGACTTGGAATTCCAAATTTGGTACATGGACAGGTCAAGCTTCGAGCGCACATGTGATTTTACAAGTCAACAAGCAGATGCTAGCAGAGGCAGCACCAATCGCGTACGGCAGCAATGTGTTCCAGCTCGACGACCATCGGGGCCTTCGAGACTTTCTGGAAGGAATCGGAAGCATGCGAGCGCATCTCAAGCAGATCAGACTCCTTTCGCCCATCTACTACAGCACAGTCGCAATTACAGCTTTGCACAAACTGAAAGACGCAAAAGGTCTGGCTAGTCTGGAGTTCCCCAGAAATATGCTCAGCGACAATGTTCATGCTTACAAAGGAATCACTCCACAAGGCCTCTTTAATGATTGCAAACAGCTTCTGAAGGTGCTTTGCAATCATCGGAAAAAGCAAAAGGACGGCTTCAACGAGCTGCTTGAGATCATCAAGATTACGCCTGGTGTGCTGTCGATCTGTGAAAAGGCTCGGCGGGGCGAGGCTTGCGATTGCGGCAGCATTATGAAGGAAGATGGCTGCAAGAATGTGATGGCCGACGTGGAGAGATGGAATGCTAAGCTGCGCAATATGATGGCGGAGGAATTTGGCATAGGAACGAAGCAACCATGTCCAACGATGAAGCATACATGAGCGTGACGGGATGAGGGCGAGATGAGGCGGGAGCGTCAGATGAGACCTGGACTGATTCTTTGCGAGATGCAGCGAGACCGGAGCTGAAAGGCATAGATATAGAAGCAAGTCATCTCGAAATATTGTTAAATAGGACTGTTACGCTTGAGTCTGACAAGTGGGAGACAGCTCTAGCGCTCGCATGAGAGAAAGAAGGAAAGATTCGTCACTCTAGACAGGAGATTGGAGCATTATGTAATCAGAAATCCTTGTCGGCGATGGCGCCATCGGCGAAAAGCTTCAATTTAACGTCCGTGCCATCCCTGTATATCAACGCGTGCTGGATTACCGCGTGCGGCGACTCCTGCAACTCGGAGCTGTTGCACAACGTCACTTCCCATCGTCTCCCAGCTTTGAAATTCCACGGGCGCGAGCACAAAGAAGACTTTGCACGCCTCTGACGATGCAGACAATGGCTGGCGGGCGGGCGGCAAGACCAGCTCGCTCGAGCACGATTCCACTAATCACACGAGAAGTATTCGCAGATTCATATCGACTTCTCCCAGCTTCACTTCACGTTGAAGTCATGCTCGTGATGTTATGGTGCAGCAACTGAGAAAGCAGCACATGGAAAACGCGCGCGCGCGCATTCGCCTTGGACATCTCTGTAGCCGTCGTCCTCTCTGTAGCATTCCTGTCCTGTCCGGGCCTTTGTACGCTCATGCATCTTTGAACAGGCATTGGCATTGCAGCTGCCGTTGAGCTCCAGCAGGCGCCTTCCTGTACGGGCATTGAACTCTGCTCTGCACCCTCCACCTCCAATCGACACTTCCGACACTCCGCCTGCCCCGAACGCTTGCGACTGCCGCATCCGCCACTGCATCGCAACCTAGACCAGACCACGCAAATGCCTCGCGCGTGCTGACCACCGCTTTCCAGCATCCACCTTCGCTTTGGCCTTCGTTGGCGCGACATCATTGCATGGCCTGTCTGGAAGCCGTGGAGTGTCGGAACCTCGATGGCTCCATCCCAACGACATCGTCTGCAGAAGCATAGATTAAGGCCAACTCTGGGGGCTCCACAGCGACATGATGGCGTTGACGAGAGGCAGTCACACCAGGCTGGACGCTCGTCCGCACATCTCAACGCCCAAGCCTCGGCGCAGACGATCCGCGAAGCTTCACGCACCACTTCGAGGCATCGGAGGACGAGTCCGCCACAGTCGGTGAACATCGCCAGAAGGCAGCAGCCAACCGACGTTCCCGTGCCATCACCTCCACGTCAGCAACAAGATGGCGCTCGCTCGCCTCATGCACCTGCCGTTCCTTCGCCATTGAATCCACGTCCCTCGAATTCGAGTGATGAACAGCGAAGCCGGAATAGCAGCGCGGAAACTGCTGGCTCAGCAACAGGACCGGCCACTCCACATGGTCTTGAAGGCCATGTGCCTGCTGCCGCACTGCCTGTTCCCGCGCCATCTCAGACACCTGTCCGGCCTCATCTGCGCGTCCCGGGAATCCCGCAGATGCATTCACTGTCAACACTCTCGCATTCGACGCCAAGAACTGTACATGAACTGGGATCTGATTACTCCCGCTACCCAAATCCATTCGCTACACGATCAAACTCGGCGAATACATCGCAGCAAGATCTGTCAGCTTTGACCGTACAATCGCCGACATCCAGCTCATCATCGCATCTGGCACCAAGCAACGCAGTATCATCCTCAGACTTGGCTAAGCGTCTGTCGAATCCATTCAAGGACGAGCGTAGATTATCAGCGTCAATGGTGTCAGAAGACATTACTCCGCTTGAAATCGCCCCAGACAGCCCGCAGCCGCGCTCAAGAAATGATGAAAAGGATCTTGAGCACGGACCTGATGCCGCTGCTGCGCCGGTGCGAAGAGCTGGCACTCCTGCATTCATCCATAACGCGGATCCCGAGAAAGTGCCTTTCTTCTGGCTTGACGACCGACTTTCCGCTCCATGTGCTTTCCCGTTGTACGTGGATCAACAAGAGGAAGATGATGACATGCACATGCCCAAGTGGGACGACGATAAGCAATTTAAGCCTACATTCAAAGATCGCTTCTCCAGAGCCAACATCGTCAACACAATCGGTGTCATCTTTCTGATCACCGGCCTTTTTATGATCTTTGTGGTTCTACCGGTTGTGTCATTCACCGGAACTAGTCTCATCCCGTACACTTATGATACTCCGTTGGACCAAATGTACGGCTACGGCTACGGCGATGATGGCGAGTCTTGGGCCCATGTGAACGACAATATCTATCCGCTCATCCAGAATGTCCGATCTGGACTCATCGATCATGATACCCCAGCATCCGCCATGAGGAAGACTGGCGTTGATGGCCATGACCTCGTGTTGGTCTTCAGCGACGAGTTCAACGCCAAAAACAGAACATTCTATCCCGGAGACGATCCATACTGGTTTGCACCAGATATGTGGTACGGAGCGACACAAGATCTGGAATGGTACGATCCGGATGCTGCAAATACTGGTTCGTAAGGCATGTTTCGATGATCAAAGCTTGATGCTGATTATTTTAGGCGATGGCACTCTACAGCTTCAGCTTGATGCGTTCCAAAATCATGGACTAGGTTACCGCTCTGGTGCTTTACACACCTGGAACCAACTGTGCTTCAAGGGCGGTGTCTTCGAAGTTTCCGTCAGTCTGCCAGGACCTGCGGGAGTTCATGGACTATGGCCGGGCATATGGACAATGGGCAACCTTGGGCGTCCAGGTTTCCTCGCAACTACCGACGGCATGTGGCCGTACACATATGACAGCTGCGATAGCGGCATCACGCCCAATCAATCGTCTCCCGATGGCACGAGTTGGCTTCCTGGTCAACGACTGCCAAATTGTGTCTGCTATGGCGAAGACCATCCTACTCCAGGCACAGGCCGCGGTGCGCCTGAGATCGATATCATCGAAGTCAGTGCAGACTGGGGTGGCAAAGGCTATGGTGTGGCCACTCAATCCTACCAAGTCGCACCTTTCGATGTCTTCTACTATCCCAATTACGACTTCATGGAGACACCCAACTACACTTTCAGTATGGTCAATACGTACACTGGAGGGCCATATCAACAGGCAATCTCCACCACCACCATGCTGAACAACCAATGGTACGACGGAAAACAGTACCAAAAGTACTCGTTCGAATACCAACCGGGCAGCGGGAAGGATGCCTTCGTCGCATGGAAGGTTGGAGACGATGAGATGATGCGCTTCGACGGTCGTGCTATTGGGCCCAACGGAAATGTGCAAGCACGGCTCGTCACAGAAGAACCGATGTCGATGATCCTGAATCTCGGATTTTCGCACGGCTGGGTCAATATCGATCAAGCAAACCTCAAGTTCCCTACGATCATGCGAATCGACTATGTTAGGTGGTATCAAAGGGAAGGCGAAGAGATGGTGACGTGCGATCCGCCCGGCTATGAGACAACCGACTACATCGCACGACATCCCGAAGCGTACAACAATCCCAACTATACGAAATGGGAAGACGCTGGATACTCTTGGCCCATGAACAGCATCATGCATGGATGCTCGTCTGAACAGTCTTGATCGGATCCAGATTGGATATCAGGCTTGACTAGCGCGGGCCGTGTGTGGAAGTGTACATATCTGTAAGGTATATATGCTATGCTCACAAGATCCATTCGAGGGAAGAATGCAAGGGCATCATCGTCGAAAACATTGATATAATATTATAATTATAGGCTTTGTGTATTTATGGCGTTTCGGGCTTGGCCGTAACGTGTAGTGTCAAAAGATTATTTCTATACATCCCGCAGAACAACCGACTGAGTCAGCGCACTCAAAAAAAAAAAAGATATGCATGTTGCTATTCAAAGAGCTCTGATCCTGAACGGAGAAGCCGACAAAGGTTAATTTCTAATCTGCTCCTCGAAGACAAAGGTCGATGATGATGACGACGATGATGAGCGGTTGGAAGAGAATTGCCAATTTCGCCAAGTTCGGCTCGCAACGACTAGAATACTCCGCTGACCCGCTCAATCAAAAACATCCACCTGCAGTAAGTAGTACCGGACGATTATTATTGATCACCTCTTCACTACTGTAGAAAATGTTACAGACAAATAGGAGAGACATGGCTCTCCGCCCGGCGAAATCTCGCACGAAAATCTGCCGTCACAGGAAAGCGTATTTGGTTTGAGCTGCTTAGTCGGTGTCGCTACGTTGCCGCCTCCAACAACCACTTCAGCTCCGAAGGGATCATGATAGTTATAAGCCCCCTCTATCAATAATCATGGGAAACATCTGTACTCCTCCGCCCAAGCCCAAAATCATCATGGCCGCCTCATCAAAAGCCTCCTCCGACCAGTGCTTCGTCGGCGAGGATGGCTTCGGCGTCAATCCAGCCCCAAGCGGAATTTCCGGGCACGCCACAGGAAAAGCCAGCGCGCAATGTGCCTACATGATGCCCACATTGCGCGCGATGCTGCAGGAGAATGCGAAATTGCAAGTGCTAGACGTCGGCTGTGGCGCAGGCTCGATAACGGTGGATTTCGCAGAAATGATGCCCGAAGGCCATGTCACGGGCTACGATGTTTCGGGCGCGGTGCTGGAGAGCGGCAAAGTGTACGCTGCGCAGCGCGGGGTGGAAAATGTTGCATTCGTGAAAGGCGATGTGTGTGCGTTGCCTTTCGAAGACGAGACGTTCGATGTCGTACACACGCATCAGGCTGTGGCGCATTTTCCCGATCGTGTCACAGCCATCCGCGAATTGATTCGGGTGACGAAGAAGAAATGCGGCGTGCTCTGTATGCGAGAAGGGGATTTGCATAGCGCGAGATTTTATCCCGAGTATCCGATGTTGGAGAGGTGTTTTGAGACGATTATCCGGGTTCATGCGGCTAATGGTGGTGCGACGGATGCCGGGAGGAGGTTGCAGCATTGGACGGTGATGGCCGGTGTGCCGCGAGAGAGGATTTGGGCTTCGCATTCGGCGTGGAGTTATCACACTCCTGAGGGGAGGAGGGATTATGGGGGGCATTGGCCGGGACGGTGTACGCATGGGGCGTTTGCCGAGAGGGCGAGGGCGCTTGGGGTTACACAGGAGGAGTTGGATGCGTATGCTTTGGCTTGGACGAAGTGGACGAATGATGAGAATGGCGTGTTTGCGATGATGCATGGGGAGGTGATTGCGAGGCCGTGAGCTGCCCGAAGCAGCTGCTATGCTGGAACATCATCGATGGGAAGGATCGTTCAACAGTCCCACAAAACGACAAAAGAGAAGCCGCACTCCCAGCTCTCATGACCATCAAAGCCACCCAGTCCTCTAGAACCGAAGTTCATCGAAGAAGGACCAAATCCAAACGAACCCCACTCCGAAATGTGGTCAAGCAACTCTCAGGGGGACGCGTCCAATTTTGAGCAGTCTGACTTGATTGGCTGCTGGCAATTCTATCATGTATATAATAAGTGTTACGCGCTTTGATGCGGGAGCTACCGAAGGCAAGAGCAAGAGCGCGGATGTGCGAATCTCAGCATCGGACTTCCAAGCAGAACAAGGAGAGCGAGACATGTACCTCACTTGCCATCTCCACACCAATGATTGATACGAAGAACACCAGCCAGCTTCATCATGGACATTGCACAGTCCTCTTCCGCCGTCAATGGCTCTTGACCTGGTCCGATGACGTCCTCGCGCTGCTCCTCCTCCTCCTCCTCCTCCTCCTCCTCCACAATCTCACCAAACAGCTCCAGTTCAGTGTCCGCCGACATTGAAGAGGAAGAAGAAGAAAAAGAAGCTGGAGTTTGGGCTGAGGTGGTCTCGACTGGCCTCCAAGCACCTTGAGTTGTAGTCATTTGATCAGGCTGATACGATGGAATCAGACCTGCCAAGCTCGGAGTCGGAGTCGAGAACAGCGGACCCAGACCTTGGCCATAATATGGCAGGTTGGGAGAAGCGCTGCCCGACGCAGCGCTGTTTAGTGCAGGCAGTGATAGCATCGGGATATTCGAGGTCGCATTGTTTGTGGCCATAGGTGGTTTCAGACACTGTGCCGAAGCCATCGCCTGATTTCCGCTGCTTTCTTCCTCCTTCTTCTTAAGAGTTTCCTTCTTTCTCTGCTGACTCAGAGCATGTCTACGCTGTGGAACCTCATTGGCAATCTGCGCTTGGTTGAGCGCATTTCTGACACTGTGTTGATTGACGCCAAGCTTCTCGGCGACATGTCTGATGGCGCGTTCAGTCAGGTTGCGGACCTTGAGGCGCTTGGACTTGTCATCGGACGCTCCCAAATTGCCTTCGAGCATCAGCTCCTCGAATGTGTTCTCGGCGGCCAGGAGGAGCCAGTTCTCGTGTTCCTCATCCGAGAATCGACGGATAGACCCTCCAGTGTTGATCAGGGACATCTGGCTCACAGGTGCGGTTGGGTTACGGGCGAAGAGAGAATCGAGTGCAGTCGAGCCATCCATGGCATGAGATGCGTTCTCGTTGCTGGTATCGCCATCGGCGGCAACAGGTGCAACAGGTGCTGGGCTGCTAGTGACATTGATCAGACTCGCGAATGTGTCGCCTTGGGTCGCGCCTCGGTCTGCAAGGCTGCGGGCGTTGGTCTGAGACATGGTCGTGTGCCTTGTTGAAAGTACGAGGGCTGTGTCTCGAGTTGAATGTTTGGAGAAAGGGCTTTTTCCTAAAGACGTGCGACTTTTGGGAAGAAGGCTGCAAACGCGTGTCTCGCTGAAAGTACGAAGTTTGTGTCTCGAGTCGAATTGTTTGGGGCAAGGCCTTTCTTCCGAAGAAGTGCGACTTTTCGGGAAGAAGGCTGCAAACGCGTGCTGCGAGACCCTGGAGCAGGCAAGTGCCAAGAATCAGCATTTTCACATGAATGGAGAAGCACAGACCAGCTCATGAACATGGCAGGAGAAGTGGGACAACGTACCCATAGAAGTTTTATTCTTCGATTCTGAAGCTCAAATCTGCCCTGCCCGCGCTTCCAAGGAGCGCTCTGCCAGCCGGGGAGCCAATGTCATCTGTGAATCCGAACGCCGTGCGCAGGCCAATGCCTTGTGTAACCTCTCGCTTTGAACACAATCCACACGCAATACCGTCAAGCCATCTTGAGCACGCCAGCCAGCTTCAGCATAGTGAAGGCTGCGTCCTCCTCCTCGGTGAGTTCTTGCTGAATGCCGCTCGAGTAGCTAGGAATCGTAGGGCGTAGTCGGTCGGCAGCACCAGCTTGCTCGCCCTCGCTCTGGGACACCGCCGTGACGGTATGTTCGGCGGTCACGATGCTTGCTTCTGGTTCTTGCTGCACCGGATCTTCCTCGACCGCATCCTCCATACCTCCCATGTCCTCGTCCTCCTGCACGCGGTCGGTCATGCCACCCTGAGAAGCTGGTGAGAGCGATCTACCCTTGCTGTCGCCAACGGCGCCAACGACCGAAATCTCGCGGGAGCGGCGCAAGTTGACTCCGTTGGACAGTCGGGCATCGTCGAAAGCACCCTTGACTTCAGCGCGATCGACACCACGAAATTTAGCCACCTTAGTGATCGAGAGCTTAATCATGCCGTCGATCTGGGTCTCGCTGCGTTCGGTCATGCGGGACAGCTCCGCGTTAGTATACTTTGATGACAAGAGCAAGGCGTCCTCGATATCAGCAATCGCAATCGCATTCTTTCCAGCCTTGCGCTGATCGCCAAAGGCCGGGTTCTCAGCACCCAAGGCCGAGTTTCCTCGAAAGATGTTTTCGGCGTCGAAGTCCTCGCTGGCGGACGACATGGTGATGGTTGCTAGCTGCACGTCTGTTCGAGGAGAAGCGGTTGCTATCGGATGTTCTGTAGTACGACTTCGAGGGTGCTGGTGCTCTGAGTGGTAGCAGTCTCGTCGAGTGGTGATGAAGGATGAAAGAGGGAGGCCATGTTTATAAACAAGGTTGCGAGTGTCGCCTATTGAGCAAGTGAATGTTCCACGGCGAGTGATGCTTATACTGCGACGTCCTGTATACACGTATATTCACCAGTGCAGCCGTGAAGTGCGAAGCTGGACAATGGGTTCTCCGTTGAATTTATGCGGAACAAGGCATTCTTCTCGAACCTGCTGAATGCCAATCGTGGGACAAAGGGAGTGTGTATACCGTGGCCCAGGACAAAGAATATGCAAGGCAGCGATCATGGAGGTAGCAATTGAACTTTCATACATACGCTAGGGATCAAGCGTCGTAGGCGAGACAAATTCCTAGCTACTCTTACCAGTGAGCCGCTTGTTTTCCGATTCGTCGTCTTCGTCGTCAGTGAGCTTGTCTTCGTCGCCCAGCGCGAAAATGGTCTCCCCGTCCAATGATTCACGTGGCAAGGTAGCGGGCTTCTTAGGGGTAGGAGCCGGCAGCGGTGATGCATCTCTGTGCGAGCTGGAGCCGCTTCTCGGTGCATCGTATGGGGGCGGTGCTTTGTTGCCATTAGCTTCCATAGCTTCGAGGTCGTCTTCCATGTCCATGGAATCTCGTATCGAGGCAATCTCAAAGCCGTCGTCGTCTTGCGCAATCTGAAATGTTTGTCAGCATATTGAGGCAGTCGCGTCAGATAGGCACCTACCTCGTCCGACATTGCAAATCTCCTGTTGTTTGCCGTCGGTCTCCACACGTACGCGACGAAAGCCACGTCGAAGAAATAGACAAGATTCAGCCAGCCATCCAAGATGAACCATCGCGTCTGCCAGTGGTTTGGCACAAAGTCGGCATTGCTCTGCCCCGCAAAGGTCCAGCTGTTGACGAAAAAGAAGGCAAAGATGACGACGATGCTAATCAGGATGCACCACCAGAGCTTGCGGTACATTGCGGCTTTGATGGTCTGCTTGCGCTCCATAAGATCCTTCATGGTATAGTTGAGGCTGTTCAATGTCCAGATGTAGAAGGCGGTCAGCGTTCCTGCTAGCGGAAGAACGACGAGGAGCACGAGCGGACCAGCGTTCTCGGGCGTTACTGCAAGTGATGCAATAGCATAGATGACTCCAAAGACGAAATGGGTGATCGCCAGCCATCGCACATAAATCATGGTCTTGCCCAATGTAGGCTTGACCACACCGTAACCCATGCACACGATCAGCAGCAGGAAGAATGAGAAGCTGTTCCTAGCAGCACTCAAGATGGAAACGACGATGAGGAGAGCCTTGGCGCCTGCGTTGAGTCCATGTCGATTCTGGTAATCGTAGAAGAGCCAAGTCATGAACATCTCGATGACCAGGAAGACGACGATGGCTGTGATGTAGTTTTGGACAGCAAGAATATCGCGTCTGTTCATCCAGTAGAGCACGGCCCAGCCCATGGCGAGGAAGGCGTAGACAATTGTGAAAGCGGCATAGAATGGTAGCTTCGCGATTTGGGCAGCAGGAAGCTCTCCGAATGCGTTGCGGAACTCCACAATGCCAGTATAGTCGGCAGCACTGTATGCAGCTGTGCTCACGCAGTAGTATCCCGTCCTCTTGATGGGGTAATTGACAGCGCCCGGCTCTTTCAGATGAATGGCTTCGGTGCGTATTAGGGATTTGGACATGCCAGTGGCATTCGAGGCAAGAATGAAGGATCCGAGATCGGCTTCTTTGCATAGGCCTGCGTCTCTGGCGCCTTCATCGCATAGATAGTCGTCCTGCGAAGAATTGTCAGGCTTCATCTGTCAAGGGAGGCTCTTTCCACTCACAATAGTCGAATCATTTGGATCAGGTCTTCCAATGAGAGGTTTGTCGGCCCATTCGAATATGACCAGGCTGACTATGGGATCTTGGTCGTCGGGGAGGTTCTCGGGATGTATGAATTTGACCATTATGAAGGGATCGATGCTGCCACCCCACGACTTGCGCGAGTACATGCCGGAGCATACTTGTCTGCTGGCGTCTGTCTGGTCCTGTGTGCAAGGTTCAGCATAGTGTGCAGCTGGTCAAGCTGGCAGTGCAGTGCACGAACGATTTTCATCTCAGCAGCCAATGTGCCGACAAGCTGCAATAGCAGCATTGCCGCCATGCGCAGCCGTCCCTCCATGTCTCCAAGCTCTTCTCCCAAAAGGGTGTTGGTGTCGAGGAAGAGTATCGAGGACAAGGCGCGGGCGGGCTATGGATTCGGGGTCGCGTAGTAGGACTTGCAGCTGCGCAAGAGCCACGCTTCACTCAGGCGACGATGCCTAGCCGGCTCGTTCCGCGCGTGATGAAATTGTTGCTGGACTCCGAAGAGCTTCTTCTTCCCTCCCAACTCTCACATGCACGCGCACACAGGGTCTACTGACACCGGCAATGGCAATGGCAATGGCAATGGCACTGGCACTGCTGAAGCCGTCGCTATGCTGCAATGGGCATGTGCATGTGCATGAAACAGGGAGCTGTCGAGGCCATGTGACGTCGATCACTGCAGCAAAACAAGATCGGGTGACACTCGCCGACATCATGGCACCGACACATAATAATGAGACGAAGCCCATAAGTTATCCGCTCGCGCCTGCTCCTGTTACTTCTAATCTGCCATTCTTAGCAACTGCCGCCCAGTCGTCGACCCGTCAAGCGCCGCGCCCACATCGACGCCGCGGCAAACGTTTCAAGCGAGAGTGAAACACGCGCCGCATACCAATCCATCCCCGTCCATCCCAAACATTTCTACTGTCACCATTCACCGCGTCTGCACGCCCGCCCTCAATTCGCTATTTAGATCCATCGCCCTCTGCGTGCTTGTCGCATCATTCTTACTTCTGAGAGCATTACGAACAGCAGCAACAATGGCCGCGGTAGTGGGCAAATATGCGGCCAACAAGTTTCTCCAGAAGCACATGAAGCAGTATGAGAACAAGGCTGTCGAGAGCGGAGCGGTAAGCGATTCCAATACATCTTTGCATATGGCTCCAGCTAATAACGCTCCTCAGGACCCGTACTTTGCAATGATTGAAGATCCCCGGAGGCCTGGCAAACTCAAGAAGGTCAAGAAGCAGATTCCAGACTACATTCCCGAACGCGACGCCGAAGTCCTAGCAGCCGTTCGTCGACGAGCATATCGCCTGGATTGCTGTCTCTTCAGCCTCTTCGGTATAAGATTCGGCTGGGAGTCCGTCATTGGCCTCATACCCGCCGCAGGTGATGCAATCGGAGCTGTACTTGCACTGCTCGTCGTCAAGAAGTGCTTGCAAGTTGAAGGTGGTCTTTCGAACGGCCTGAAAGCTCGCATGCTGATCAATATCGTCCTCGATTTTGCAATTGGACTCGTCCCCTTTGTCGGTGATCTCGCAGACGCCGCATTCAAATGCAACACCAAGAACCTTCGCCTCCTTGAGAGACACCTCGATGAAAAGTACAAGCCTCAAGCCCTTCGAAAGGACGAGCGAGACTTTCAGGGCATCGATGGAGAGAAGAGACGATCGAATCGGAAGTCAGGCATTTATATGCCGAATGACCCTCCGCCAGCTACAGCCTTCGAAGACAGCGATACAGAAGAGGAGCGTAGGCGCGTCGACAACCAAGAATCGCATGTTCAAGAGCCGAGACCCACTAGGGCTGCGGAGGACAGGAGAGGTGGATGGTTCTCTGGTGGTGGCAGAAGTCAGCAAGCTCCTCGTCGTGCAGGCAGTCGGCGTGAGCATAAGTTGGACACAAGACAGCAGCGACAGGATACAGGCAGTGTCAGAAGATGATGTGGCTACAGGATAGCGCATTCTTGCACTTTTGCAGCGTGGCAGTACGGCGTTTTAACTCATAACTTCGATACCCAGGGAAAGGTTCCACAGACAGATATCAAAATGTACTAATGCAGCGTCTTCTTCAGCCCTTCACACACTAGCGTGATGGCTTCCTTGCCTTTCGTCAATACACCATCCATTGCCAAGAATGGATGCGGCATTCCCGACATCACGAAACATTCGCTCGAGACTCCTGCCTTGTTGGTCTTTGCCGCGAACTCTTCTCCCTCGGAGCGTAGGACGTCCAGCTCTCCGACGATAACCCTGCTTGGTGGGAGTCGACTCCAGTCTCCGCTCCAGAGCAACGGCGATGCTTCGGCGCTGGACCAGTCTCCTTCATTGGGCAGATATCGGACTCTGTACCACATCATTTTTTCGGCAGGCAACGCAGCAGTGAATTCGTTTTCTTTCCAGGATGCTTTCGTTTCCGGAGAAGCCGTGTTATCCATCACAGGCACGACAAGAACCTGAGCGGCGAACTTTGGCCCACCTCGCTCAACTGCTCGCTGCGACATGACCGCTGCTAAGTTGCCTCCTGCCGACGACCCAGCAACTGCGAATCTCGAAACATCAACCTGCAGCACGTCTTTCCCGCTTCTCAAAATCCATTGTACCGTCTCCCAGCAGTCATTGACCTGAGCAGGAAACGGATCTTCGGGCGCCGTGCGGTAATCGACAAATACGACTACAGCTTCGACTCTGGAACAGATATGCGAGCAAACGACATTCTCGGTATTAATGTTTCCAAGGACCCAGCCACCGCCGTGAAACCAAAGGCACACCGGCCACCCTTTGCTGGGCTTAGGTCCTTCGGGAGTGAATACCCGAACCTGCACATCTGGGCCAACGCTCTCGACGCGCTGGAACGTGAGGTCCTTGATATCTCCAACGGGAAGCTGCGGGCCTGCGCCAGGAATCAATATACCAGAAGAGCGAGATGCTTCCACCGGCTGGTACTGGACTTGCTGATTGTTGATAATATGCTTGTTGTAGAACTCGACATATTCTGGATCTAGTTTGTCACGGACAGATTCGTGGAGAGGATAAGGAGGTTGTGGTGTTGAAGACATTTCTCTAGCAGACCAGGACTACGAACTACGAACCCAGTGCTGAAGTCTGTATGCGAGCTTGGCCGTCGGCCAAGAGCAACCGCTGCACTCCCCCGGAAGATCCACGAGGCACCCCAACACAGCCCCAAAAGTCTATCCACCTCGAACGATTTGCCGAAACTGGCCTACCCGGAAGACACGGCGATGCGATTATCCTGCAAATTCGTGCTTCGGAGAGCCCTTGGCATTAGGAGGTTTGAATGCGTAGATGTGGCCTCCTTTGTCGTTGTCCTTGGGATCAGCACTTCGATCCTTGCCACAGACGATATATAAGGTATCGAAGTTGGGACCACCCCAAGTTGTACACGCCGGATTATAAGAAGGGAGGATCTGGAGAAGGATAGTTAGTCGCTAAGACTGGTGTCGAAAATACTGGACAACGCCTTACAATTTCAGCAAGATGCTTGCCGGTTGGATCAAATGCCATCACTCGCCACGAGGAATACATCGCGATCCATAAATTGCCATTCGTGCTATCACAAAGTCAGCATTGATATAGTCACCATGTCAATCAATCTCATACTCAACCACCATGCCATCTGGCTCCCCATAGGAGTTCCGTCGGTCGATCAACAACCTCTTGTTGGAGATACTCCCAGATTCAAGATCAAAGTCATAAGCAAAAACAACCATCGCGACAGAATCATGAAAGTACACTGAGATGAATCAGCCACAACCTCATCACAACAAGACCACGCAAAAAAACTCACTCGTCCTATTATCAGGACTCCACCCAAGTCCATTCCCACAAATCACCCCCTTCTCCATCAAGTGCAAGCTCCCATCCGGATCATACCTCCACAGCCTCCCCAACAGCTCCCCATAATCCTTCGGCAACTTATTCGCCCCATAACTCGCAGCCTTCAAATCAATCTCCGTCGCCCAAAACCTGCCCTTCGCATCCACACCCCCATCGTTAAACCTTCGAATGTTTCGATCCTCTTTCGGGATGATTTCCTTGATCACATCTAAACGTCCGGTCTCTTCGTCCAAGAATGCGATGCCTTGGTAATATGCACAGATGTAAGAACCCGGGTGGTTTTTCCGGAAGAAGTGGACTGTCACGCTGTCCGAGAGGATTAGACGTTTTATTGGGCCCAGCGGTTTTTCGCTTTCCGGGGAGATTTTTAGGATGTGGAATTCTGCTGGTGAGGCCAGACAGTCTACCCAGTGTAGGGTTGAGTCGGAGGCTCGATAGATTGGCGCTTCACCTAGGACCATGGGAGGGGTGCATTCGTAGAAGGGGTCGGGTGGTGCGGTGTAGACTTGGAGGCCTGGTGAGGTTGACATTTTGCTTGTTGCTTGCCTGAGGCTAAAAGCCTTGCGTTGAAGACTTAAGAGTCCCGCGTTGAAGATGGTAGGGAAGACTCCCGCGTCCGGGTTCGTGCTTTCTCTCTTTCCTCTGTCAGCCAACGTGCTCTTCGTATGCAGCTCTCTGTGCATCAATGGACTGGCCACTTCATCGGATATGTATCGCTCTCACTTGCTCGGAAGTGAATGAAAACACCCGACCTCGCCTGCCCAGTGCCCGCCCGGCAAAGAAGATATGACAAGCATCTGTGTGGGGGGTCAAAAGCTTCTTGAACTTCCTGCTTGAGGAGAAAGCTGGAGATACTGTAGGCAAGGTTCTTCGTATCGCCGGCCGCCGCAGGCACACCAACACCTCATTTAGCGACGATCTTTTTAATGAGGAGGAGAATGAAATCCTTCATAGCTCTTTCTCTTGCCCGAGGACTGGAACACAGTCAAAGAATCTTGGCACAGCGTGCTGACTACGGCGCAACGATCAGATGGCATCGACTACCAGCAACATGGACGATAAAAAGACCCCCACCGTATTCGACCAGCAAAGCACGACCGAAGATCCAAAGACAACGACCACTGTGACTGAATATGCAACTCCTCCTCCAGGCTGCACAGTCTGTGGGGTCCATCTCCCCGCATACCGCTCCCCCATCGTGCAAACCCTCCTAGTCTCCTTCGTCCAACTCCTCGTCGTCGGAATCTTCAACGTCCTCTCAGCACTGGGCGGAGGCGGCCAAGTGAATCCAAAAACCAGCAACAACGCCAACACAATCTTGTATTCACTTTTCGCAGCGTTCAGTTTAGTCGCCGGCTCCGTAACGAACTATCTCGGTCCCAAATGGACTTTGGCGACAGGTGGCGTAGGCTATTCCCTCCTCGCCGCATCATTCTGGTGCTACAACCATACGAAGAACCGAGGCTTCGTGTATCTAGGTGGAGCGACGTGTGGGATTTCCGCGGCGTTCTTGTGGACTGCGGCCGGGTCTTTGGTGATGAGTTTACCGCTTGAAAAAGACAAAGGGCGATATATCTCGATTTTTTACGGGTTGCAATTCGTGGGCTCGGTGGTGGGTGCGATTATTCCGACGGTGGAGAATTGGTCCGTGACGACGGCGGGGACGGTGAATGATGGGACGTATATTGCGCTTTTTATTCTCATGTTTAGTGGCAGTATTGTTGCGTTGTTTGTTGTGAGTCCTCAGACGGTTATTCGGAATGATGGGTCGAGGGTACAGGTTCCGCGTGAGACGACGTTTGTGCAGGAATTGAAGAATGTAAGTGAGATGATTCCTCGTGCATGATGATCTTGCTGACCGAAACGAAACCTCTCAGGTCGTGATAGCCGTGCAGAAAGAGCCTCTCATCTTCCTCTTCTTCCCATTCAGCTTCGCGGGCCTGTGGTAGTAAGTCAATCTCCAGAAAGTAAAAAAAGCAAAAAAAAAAACTTGAGAAAAATGATGTCTGACCGAGCAAATCAGCATACCCTACCAATCCAACGACTTCAACGGCTACTTCTTCGACCTCCGCACCCGCGGCTTCGCCAGTCTCTGGTACAATTTCGGCCAACTATGCATGTCCCTCCTAATGGGACAAACTCTGGATCTCAAATACTTTGGCCGCAGAACACGAGCCTTCCTCAACTGGACGTTTCTCTTCGTTTTCCTGAACGCTGTCCTGATTGGAGGCATCTGGCCCGTTCGAGCATCGCACCGAGGCGTGCCACCCGCGAAGCTCTTGAGCGTTGGACAAGCCAAAGCGGGAGGCTACATCGCGCTGTTGACATTTTACGGATGTATCGATGGCGCGTGGCAGACTTTTGCGTGGTGGATTATGGGCGCTTTGTCGAATGATCCTGTCGTTCGTGAGTGTGAGATCGATTTTGATGGAATATGGCAGTGCTTACAATACGCAGTCTCAATCTACTCCTCGTTTTATAAGGTGTTTGGAGCGACGGGCTGTGCGATCGTTTTCAGCATGGATAACCATAATACATCGTATAACGCAATGTTTGGTTCCTATTGGTGAGATTCCTGATGAGTGCATGTTGGGTTGAGCTAATTCGAATTCCCTAGGGGCTTGTTATCTGGATCAATGCTTTTGGTGCTGTATCTGATTCACAAGAGGATTGGAGATACAACCGAGGAGCACCATGTCGCGCTTCAGGCCATTCCGAACAAAGTGGCCGACTGAGCCCTGGTCCAGTGGCATTTGCAAAGCTCTTGGCCCTCCTGAGTGGTGGTTGCCACCCTTGACCGAGTACGTACGCAGCTTGCTTCAGAACATGATACATCCCATTTTCTGCTCCATGCGTCATGCTCGAGCGTCACAGGATCGATCGCAAGCCCCACTGCTCCCACTCTACTGATTCAGCAGGGTATCTCTTTTTGATCGCCTGCAGCTCTGCTTTAATACCGTCGAATTCAGGCATCGCCGTCTCCAGGAATTCCGTGATCGCTCGCCTCAGCGGTTGCTCAGAAAATGTGTCGCTTCTCCGCTTGATCATAGCGTCGCAGTCTGTCGTAATCTCTACGAACGCATCGTCGACCTGGGATTGCAGCTGAGCCATGCAGTTATCGACCGCTTCGTAGACAGCACTTTCGATGGCCTCTGCCATGAGATGAAAAGGAGATTGTTCGCCAGGAAGGTTGATGTGGATGCTTAAGCACTGGAGCCAACGAGCACATACACCATTGCCTATATCACGTCAGCAATCAGCAAGTAGCACAGCAATCTCTGCAGGACAGCAGGCCTTACCACTATCGTTCTGGCAATTTGTGTAAGCTGGCGCCAGGGCATGGGCGAAGTAGTTGTCTGGACCGTCGTTGATCACGTTGAGAATGATTGATCTATCTCGGTCAGCAGACTGAATCAGCAGAATGACGAGTGTGAACTCACCGTAGACCTCTTGTCAGATTGTCTTTGGTTGTGACAAAAGCTTGACGTAGGCCTGCTATGTGAGCTTGGAGCGCAGCGTCGAATGGACCCATTGGTAATCCCACTGCTGCAGGTTCACCTATCGGTCGGTCAGCGTATGCAATGATCGCATAAACGTCAAAACTTACGCTCAAGCTGTTCTTTGATACTCGCAATGGTAGTATTCACCTGTCGGCATAGCTCGTCGATCTGACTTGAAGTCTCGTCGACAAAAGGGTACCAAAGGTCGTCCTCCATGACTTTGCGAACCTCAGTCGTGAAGAGTTCGTTCCACGATTCAGATATTGCGGCAGTCTTGTGATTCCCATTTCGGACGATGAATGCACGCAGAGTCGCCCAGCGCTTTCGTGTAATCTTGGTGTCGAGAGCCTTCTGAGCTGCGGAAGCGAAGGTAAACTGGTTCCGACGCAGCTTGTGTATGACTTTTTCGGTGCATTTCTCTTTGATCTCCTCGGAGATCAGCTCAAAAGATCCTGGGATAGCCTTCTGCGGCCGATGGATGACTTTGATCAGGTCTGTCCTGCCTTTGCTGAGTCGGTTGCTTGCCCATAGCTCTAGACCCCGAATGAAGACTGTGTATTGGTGATCCACAAAATATGCCACTTCGCGAAATGCTTCAGGCGCAGCCAGAGCCAAGGCGTGCCTTCGCAGTGCTGGGATCCCGGTAGCCTCCGCGGATAAAGTGAAGTTTTCCTTGCGCTTGTTGAGCTTGCGCGCGGCGTAATGGGCGTTCGAGACGCAGAATACCCGAAGTGTACTGGCAACGGGTAGGTGAGGCTGGCACTTTCGCTGGAGCTCTCGGGTGACGAAAGTATTGCGTCCTTCAACGACCTTGGCCCACCATTCGTCGTCTTGGTCGTCTCTCACCTTTTCCAAAATCGCAATCTCGCTGTGCGCATCTCTTGACCCTTCGTTGCGATTGGCTGCTTTCGTCTTCTTCTGGACAGATGACTGCAATTCCTTAATCTGTTTGGTCAAAGCGCGGTTGGAAGCTCTCCACTCCTGCAGGCCTTCGATCTTGATTCCTTTCTTGGCATATGCGCGTACCAATTCTGCTTGCACATTTTCAGCGGATCTTGTTCCTATGGCCACAACATTGCCCTTGAAAGCCCTGCCATATCTTTGCGCAAGTCCTTCAATGACTCCATTGGTAGCAATGCGACCAACGTGATCAAAAGCCCAGAGGAAATCGCATTGATTGATAGATCTCAGTGTAGCGTTCACACGAACCAGATTGCTATCTGTGAGGCCTGTAGAATGCATTAGTATCTTCCAATATGTTCTAAAAGAGTCCCTACTTACCGGGAAGATCGGCAATCTTCCAGCGATCGAGAACGCGTGATCCTCTCACTCCGATTCTGATAATCGTTAGCTGAGCTACCTTCAGGGAGCATTCCTGGACTCACTCTACTAGCTGAACAAAAGGCCAAAGTACCGGGCCTCCGCGTCCTTCATCCTCGTCCAAGTGATCGCTTAGCCACTGGTGAAGTCCCTCCAGCTCCGAGAACTCATCGGCCTCAAGCAACGCATCTTCTCCTGCATTGATCGTTCGCATGATTTGTGCCGCGTGATCGACGAACGACTTTGTCTGTTGCTTGATAGAAGCGGTCCCAGAGCAAATGCGATTCAAAGACTGTACACCAGCCTCATCAGTCTCAAATTCTGGGTATTCGCAGAAAACAGTCCGGAAGATGGCCAGTGCCGTGTTCGCGCGATTCCTAAGTCGATCTTCCTCTTGCGGAGTGATGTCTTCGTGTTCCTCAAAATGGTAGGCTTTCCAGTCGCCAACCGCTTCTACGAGTAATTTCCCGATAGTTTCAAGATCGAAGTACTTCAACTGAACTGCAAAGCGTTTCTTTTGCCAATGGAAAGGTGCTCTGTAGATCGTGGCGACCCAGGTCACAGATTCTCCTAAATCCAGCTGGTCCATGTCAGTGAAGTTTTTTCATATTCAGATGGTTTCCTTACCGCTTTTGCCAGTCGCGGAATGTCCGTGATCGAATTTACGAGTGAACTCTTCCCTGCTTTGCGTTAGCGACTGCTGCCCTGAGGAGAACGAATTTCTTACCCTGTCCTGCGTTTCCCACTAGTCCGATCACCTTTGTGGTACTGTGAGGCACATGACAAACCTCCTTCACTTTTCTGCGGAGTACTTCGACCTCTTTGGTTGTAACATCAGACTCACGAAGAATCTTTCTCGCGGTCTTTGCAAGCTTTTCGAGGCGAGACTTGACAGATGGCACTTTCGAATCATACAGCGCACATGCGGGCAATGTCTCTTGCGCCTCGGTGTACTCGTAGTCGCTTTGCGTGTCGCTGAAGCCATCGCTGCTACTACTGTCGTCTAGCATTTCGCTATTTTCGTGATCCACGGCGGTGGCTGTATGCGCATTTTGAATCGCAAGCTCGTCCTCCAGCCAAGCGTCTTCTTCATCGCGGGCATAGCGCTTCCGCTTTCTCGACGCGCCGTACTCCATGATCCCCGGTCACTGTAGGCCGCGATATGATAGTGTTTTGGTTGTCCACCGATGGGCATCAAGATGTTGATGATTGTTGAGACTCAGTGAAGAGTATGAAATCCAGGAAGGTCAGCAGATTTGGTCACCCCTTGCACATGTAAAGCCATAAGCGGAAATGACGAACTGAAGTGAGTTGCTTGTGAGGATCTTCAGACATTTTAAATGAATGAATGACCTCACATGGTAAGACTATTTCGGAAATAATTCGTGGCGCTTACAATGTTGCGTGATGGCGACATTCTGCGATACGTCAGCGTGTCACCGCTCAGATTCACAGGCTCATGCTATGTACTTAGAAGCTCAGTTGCCTCAATGCTCTCCTCATCATACAAGCTGGCCTCGATCCAAGCCAAGCTAGAGATATCAAATCTTCTCCCTCTTGCCCACTCCTATCCGGTCCTCAAATCTCCTCATCAGCTTATTCGTCTGCTCGGCCAGAGTCAAAGTCAGAATGGTGTGCGGCAATATTCTTGCCAAATGCGCAAAGAAGCCCTTGTAGACCGCAAGCACACCCTCGATCTTGACTGTATTGTACAGACAGTCGAATGCGCCGTTGTAGAGATTGCCGGTCTGGTTGTACATGCGGCTCATGACAGTGTCAGGAGGATGCATGACTACGCATACCACGAACCCTGAGGCGGTGGAGGACATCAGATGTAAAGGAGTGCCGTCTTTGATGTCGAAGTTCCTTTGCAAGACTCGTTTCGCGAGGAAATAGGTCGGGAGTTGCACCGAAGAACCAAACCCTGTGCGGACCATGGCAGGACCTACTCCTCGCCAGAGACCCTTAATTCCCTCGGCTCCGTAGATTTGTCTCAGGCCGTCTACAGCACCTCGGTACTGGTGTTGTGTTCCGACAGGCAAGAAAGGAGAAAATGATTGTAACCGGGTCTTGACCAAGAAGAATGGAGAACCCAAGAAAGCACCCAGGATGCCCGAGCTGGCACCCGACGCGATGTTTATCGGCACTGACTGCATGGCCTTGACTTGCGGGTCTGCTGCATTCAAAGGACTCCGCGTCAAGACCAAAGAATTCAAGGTCGTCCGTATGGGGTCGTAGAAGCCGAGACGACAGCCATTGAGGGTCATTTGGTATATGTACGCGCAATTCAATCCTCTTAATAGACCCTTCAGGCCTTCATTCGAGTAGATGACCCGCACTCCGTGCAGAACACCTTTGTACAGTTTGGGCGCATCTTGCTTCGCCTGCAGTTCTCCTTGCAATTGTAATCGAATTTTGACCGTCTCGAAGGAGTGTGTGACCGTGACAGCTCCGCAAGCCGCTATCCCTCCTGCTATGAAGGAGCCTATCGTCGTCGACATGTTGGCCGAGGTGTATGAATAATAGGTCGTTCAATCTCTTCTCCTTCCGCTTCTCCGAGCGCAGGTCGTGCTATCGCAAAGTCATACGGGTCTTAAGATCTTGAATATTCGTTCTGAGGATTGGCGACACCAGAGCCGGGGCGAAAGAATAATTAAGTCATCAGAAGTGAGACGCGAGAGATGGTGGTATGGGAATATTTTCAAGCTGTCAGCTACAGTATTCGGCGCTCGCGTCAGATCGATCCAATGCAATGCCGATTAGAATTCGGGAGAGTTTAACGTTACGGGCCGCCTTGGGCTGCCCTTATAATGAGGCAGAACCCAAGCCACACCGAGTAGGGATAGGCTTGCCAAGGTGCATAGCCACCCACCAATTCCTACCGCAAATTAGATGCAGTTAGCCATTATTGTCCCGCTAGTAGGTGTTATAGATTCTATCTCTTCTAGACCTCGCTGTCGCTACCTTACTATTACTACCTCGCTATCGCTATCTTACTCGTCCGCTCGGTCGATTTAGTCGTCGCAATATCCCTCGAAACCTACTAAATTCGTGCTCTTTCTCGACCTCTATATCGCGACAATAGACGCCGCCGAGGGCCTCCTTACTACCGCCTAAATAGCCGCTCTATAGGCGGAGATTGCTAGTAATATAGTGCCTATACTAGTCGACGAGACCTCGATTAATATCTAGTTGCTATAAAACTAATATAACCTTAACTTTAATAATAATTAGTTGCTTAGTAATGCTAGATTTAGCGGTAAAGCGCTCGGTAGTAAAGAAGGTAATAAAGAAGGTAGTAAAGCGCTCGGTAGTAAAGCGCTCGGTAGTAAAGCGCTTAGTAGTAAAGAAGGTAATAAAGAAGACGCGCCTAGTAAGACTAATAGCGAGGATAATAGACCGCTAGCGCGTAAAAAGGGCAAAGGTAGATTTAATAAGTTTAAGACTAATTAGAGCAGACTCTATTTTAATAGCAAGTCTATATCGCTTAGGTTGCCGCTAAACCTAGAAGAATAGCGATAGAAGCTATTCTAACTATTAGTAGAAGCCTTTATTATAACGCCGGAAGAGAAAGCGACTTATTAGCCCTTTATCGATAACGTATAAGTAAGCGATAGCTATCGGTATTATATGCCTTAAAAGAAGCGGCGCGAATATAGGTTTATCTATTAGTATAGTCGGCGGCGCGATCTTATAATAAATAAGACGAGTAATAATTTATTAAAGAGGCGGAAGCGCAATATAATAGCGACTTTGTATTATCTAGCTGTACTTAATATTTATATCTATTACGAGGAGGCGGAAGAAGGTTAGCCTAGTACGCAAGTAATAAGTAATTACAAGGGAAGGCTATACCGCGTACGGCCTCTGCGATATAAGATATTTAAGGATAAGAAGAATCTATTACTATATAACTATACTATTAAGGTTGTTAACTAGCGGAAGATACCTATATTCCTTCTAAAGTTAGTAGAAGCCGAGGTTTAGAGAGGGCACTTAACGGCTACTATTCGATAGCTTATTACTAGCGACAATCTCGAAGGTAGAAGTAGGCGCCTTCTTGCTACTAGCGGTGCTAAATTTAACATCTAGACCGTATATAACGTAGCGCGTAGTTAGTTAAAAGCGCATCTAAATCTACGATATCGTAGTAACGATTTAAGTAGGAGTATATAGGTAGAAGAAGCGAGAGAGTAGTTAGAAAGAAGTAAGTCGAATTTCTCGCACCTGCCTTATACCTTGCTTAGCAAACCTTATTAATAGTATAGCCTCGCTATTTACCTAATTCGGCAAGATTATACGTTAACCCTACAAACTTAGCAAGTACTCGGAACCCTAGCGTACCTCCGATCTCCGCAATCCGCGGCTTCTAATTAGGCTTCGAACAAATCTTAGCGCGATACCTTATTTTTCAAAATAACTAATTTATATGTTTACAAACAATTATTATTACTAACATATCGATATTAAGCGTTCTACTAATAGCAATCCTTCTCGCTACCTCGTATTTGCTAAAGAATCTAGTCTAGACCTCTTATATAAATTTAGTTAGGTTTCTATCGTCGATTCTACCTATAAAACGAATTCCCTTAAGTAGAAGCTATTCTCGATTATAGTCCGCGATTCCTCTAATACATACCGCGTCTGCGCTTATTTTTACTCGCTAAGAGAGGACGGTATAATAATTATAGAGGCCTTTAAGTAAATTAAGGAATAGTGTCGAAATCGGCGAAAACTATAGAAGGCAAGATACTTTATAACCGACGATAGCGGCGCGGAATAGCTTGTAGTTAAAACGGCTTTCCGAGGGTTAATAGATAGTAAGCAAGAGGTAGACTATTTCTTATGCTAATTCTACTACGAGAAGTTACTAAATAAGTACTAGAAAGGCAGGAAGTTTATAAGGGTGCTTAATTACCTACTTAAAGCGCTTAAATATCGCTATACTAAGGCTAGTTATATCGATAGTTTAAACCGCGCCGCCGACATCCTTCTAGTAATAGAATTGCCTACTAAAGACAAGGCGAAACGGCTTAAATATATCGAGGTTACGATATATAATAATAGGCGGTTATAGGCCTATTTTATACGTAATTACTTACCTATTCTTCTTTAGATTAAGACGACTAGCAATCTCGAGAATTTCTATAGCTTATTAAAGCGTAGCGCCGGCATTAAACAATAGATAAATTACTATTCTTTAAAGGGCAGTATAATCTACCTTAACTTAGTCGTTAACGTACTCGATCGACGCGCCGCTATTATAGCGCAGAAATATAGCTATTCGCTTTATCTATATACGATAACTTATCGCTAGATAGCCTTACTTCTGTACGCCGCCTACAACTTAATTACGCCCGAGATCGATACTAGCGCTAACGACGCGTTTAATAGCGACCTTCGATAGCGTAGCGATAAGGTCGCCGATAACGAGTGCGACTATTAATTCTACTATAAATAGTATATTCTATATCGCTACCTATAGGTACGCTACCTACTTATTAAAGACCTTACTAACGAGGATTTTAACGCCTAGACGTCGCTTTAGCGCGATAACGGCTTCGAGCTATATTATAGTAATAAGAAGGTCCTTATTCCTAATAAGTCTTCTGCTACGGAAGAGCAAGAGCTAGTTAGTATATATAAGTATATAGCGATAATAAAGGAGCGGCTATTCTACCTACGAGAGCAGTACTATAGCCTAGAAGACGATAAGGCGCTAAACGAGGAAGAGCCGTAGGTTAAGGATACTATTATAAACCTATAGTTTAAGCGTATCGCGAAGGCCTTAAATCCTTACCTAAATTACGCTATTTCTTAGCTAATTAAGGATACTAAGGAACGCGGTCGCGACGTTACTATCCCTTAGGTATAACTCGGCTAAGGTCCTTTAGTAGAAGGTTACGTTGCTAGTAGTTATTATACTAAGTAGGGTATTATACTATTAAAATTAGTAGCTCTAAGGTAGGCGCTAGTACCTATAGCGATATAGGTAGGAGGTAGACTAGTAAGAGAGGAATTCGAGGCTATATAATACGCTTAGTAAGATACTCTACCTCGTATACCTTAGTTACCTTCTAATAGACTAAATAAGCGGGCAAGATACTAATAATTATCGCTATAGCGATAGTAGTAGTATAGTAGTAGAAGAGGCAAATTGCGCCTAGCGGATATAGGCAAATTGCGCCCGGTAGATAGCTACCTAAGGCTAAAACAACTAACAATACCTTAGATTTAATAGTATAGCACTTCTATACGTTAACTTTAGTTTTAAAACGCGACGATAATGTAGTATATCGATAGAAATGCATTGTAAGAAGGGTTATGTTAGTAGGTAGATAGGGTAGTAGCGGGTATAGGTAGTATTCGATAAGGATCTAGGAGGAGAGGGAGGAAGGTAGGAGAGTTAGCCTAACGCTAAGCGCCAAGCCCTACCTAAGGCACTAAGACCCTAGCTTCACTCGGCCTAATTACATGCTAATTACGTATAGCCTCTTTAGCTCTAATATACGCTTCCCTTCTAAAGGCCGCGCCCTTGTAGCCTATCTATGTTCTACGACCTCTATTGCCGCTAACTTAGCAAGTCTAATAAGCTGCTTAGCCCGCGCTAAATTAAATACTTAACTACCTAATTATGTAACTATGTCAAACCTTACCTTCTAATACAATATCTAACTTCTAACTGCGCTATCCCTATATATAATAAACTATAAAGTAATATATATCTACAAGAATTGAGGGCCTTCGACTAATTACAATACGAGCGCATCTTCCCTACTATAACAGGTAGACGTACGAGGTATTGCAGCCCTGCCTCCGCTCTAAGTAATGTCGTACCGAGTTCTTTGCGTCTACTCTTAAAAGACCTAGCAATGTCCGCTTCCGAGGGTTTGTCCGCTTCCGAGGGTTATTGTTCTTATTGTTCGTAGTTTCGCTAGCCCTAATTAGCTAGGTTTGGCAGCCTTTAAGTATTAATCTTATTTTATCTTTTTAAAAACACAGCTCGTCTAGTTTCTATAGGTAAAGGCTATTATAAGTGCAGTAGTAGAGGTTCGCCTCGCTTAAAGGGTTAGATAGATCGAGGAGTAACCTATTGTCCGCAAGATCGACCCCGGCTAGCTTAGCTCTATAGTTTTGCCCTTAGTTAGTCTATTAGTCGCTTAATCTTTTAGGCGGCTTAAAGTTTTTAATTAAAGTTTTAATTAAAGGTGCCTTAGGCTTGTAGTATAGGTAAGGTTATGCCCGTAGGCGCAGTAACAATAGCAAGTAATGTTAATAATAGCGGTACTAGCCGTCTTAGCGCTAACTTTACCTTACTTCTAATTTCCTTCTTTAACTAACAACAACTTAGTAATACTGTTACTAACATAGCGGTGTCCTTCCTTTCTTAAATAGCAATACACTCCGCAATACTATTACTAATATAGCCGCGCCGGCCGCACTGTCCTTCGCTAGCTCGTAGCGCGACGCTATCGTTTTTATTACTATTATTCGTACGCGC